TGGAAACGTGAATTAATTAAGCGTCGTCAAAATGGTGCAAATTGAATAGTACCACAATCATGAACAATATTCTTTTTCCCTTATGTGTCTTGTACAAGAATTTTGTTTATGGGTTTTTTTTATAACTTCACGAAATTATTTTCGCATATTTTTATTTCGTTTAATTAATAATATATAAATGTGATTATTTGGAAACAATTCATAAATTCATTGAAGTATATACACTGAAAGTTAATAATTATAAAATAAATATCATGTTTATTTTTATATCATTATACATGAATCATTCATCATATTATCAAAAATAAAAACAAAAAAAAAGAAGAATAAGTACACCGGAAAAGAAATTGTCTATTGATTTGTTTTGAACGGAAATCTTTTTGTTAATAATCATTTTGTTGTCGTTTAATAGAAGGTAATCGTCTTGGTATTGATGGTGTATTATCATCTTTTGATTTACTATCATATTGATCATGTATAGGTTTATATTTCGATTGTCGTAGAACAACACCAGATGAATTACTATGATTATCGACTAGAGATGAATTATCTCCTTTTGTATTATTATATTTAAATGATGATTTTTTATTTAAATTATTCTCGGATATATCATTATTCATATAAATATTCGTCGAAGTATTTGACTGTCGATCACTAACATTTTCATATATATTCGGTGGTCGCATAATATCATTTAATCGATTAATTCTTTTTAAATATTCTTCTACACAACGATTGACTAACATATATTGATCCTTAGTTTGAACCATTTTGACTCTCTCTTGTCGTAGTTTATAAACAACACCCATAACATCAAGTTGCATTGTTGATAAATTATTTTCTGATTGTTTAATTAATTTGGTAATTATATCTACGGCAATATAAGTTCCTGTTCTACCAACACCAGCACTGCAATGAACAACCATAGGTGTTGTTAAACGTTCTTTTTCTTTTTTAAATAAATTTTGTCCATGATTATTAATTGTTTCAATAAGATCAAGTAATTTTGGTTGAGTAACAACACCAAAATCTGGCCACCCAATAAAATAATAATGATATACACGATGTTCTATATTTCCCTTCAAAAAAATCAAAATAAATAATTTTAGCATAAATAAAATAAAAAATAAAATTACATCTTTAATGAGTATAAGACGAATTTCTAGATCATCCTTTGGCCGACGATCAATATCTATTACTTGAACAACAACTGGACCAAATGTTAATGAATCACCTTTATTTTCAGGAAAATAATTATGACATTTATCCTAAAATATAAAAGCAAAACAAAACCCATAAAATGTTTATTTTTTATATAACCGTTCTTACTACAGTTAGTGTTGGATTGTGAGGATTTCGTTCTTTCAATCTTGTTACCATAACAATTTTCAAGACATTATATTGAAGAATCATTTCCCAAAAATCTTGACAAGTATCTGGTAATGGAGCTTGAGTAGCTATATATTGCTTAGCGCAATGTAATCCCTATTGTTTTTTTGAATATCATCATTAATGTTTTTGTGTTATTCTTATAATTACCTGAATTTCATTTGCATTGATATAATCATCAACACGATGGTCAGCAGTTAATCGAACAGCTGTTCTTTCCCCTATTTAATAATATATGGTCATAGAAATTGTTTTTTAAGAATTAATAACGTACAAGGTCCTCGAGCAGGAATATTACCATATCGATTTTTAGTAGCATATTCTGCTTCATAATCTGATTGCCGATATTGTGGAGCTGTCATCTCCAAATCCTATATATAATTAATATTAGTAATTCGAGATAATTAAGAAATTTTTAACGAACCTGATATTCATTATAAATTGCTTTTTCATCATCGTTTGTCATACTGATATATTTGTAAAGAGGTTTTGGTCTGTAGTAAAATAAAGAATATGAATAATTCATTCAAGAGAAATGAATGACAAATATACTCAGATTTCATTTAAATAAAATAGGCTGTAAAAACGAAAAACAACTCACCTTTTTGTTGGCACAGTGTATACTGATGTTAATGATATTGACCCACTAGAACTAAAACAAATAAATAAATATATTTATAAAACGAAGAATGTTGCATATTTTACCGAGGAACTTTTGATGATCTATAACAGAATTTATTATAAAACTTGTGAAAAAAATTTCTATTATATTTCATACTTTCGATATTTTCGGATTTTTCCAGTGACCAATCGTTTAAGTGGTTTTCGCTTCCATCCAGCCAAAACAACAACTACAGCAACAAGCGCCAGAACTGGAAATATAGCTACCCATCCTTTTGATGGCGAAGGTTTTGTTGGTGTTGGAGGTGGAGCTTCGATTATATAATATTAATTCTAATAAAGTTTGAAACAAGAAATTATCGCTTACCTTTTGTTTCAAAGGATTTGGATAGAACATTTTCACAACCAGCAATTGTACAAGCACTTAGGATCACTCTATTTATATTTATTCGTAAATAAAAGGTCAATAAAATAAAATGATGAGATTTACCTGTAAGTTGTCGAAGATTTTAATGGACCATTACATGGAGTATATGCTATTGATTCATTGAAACAATCTGTCTGATTTCCAAGTATCACAGTAATGTTGTTCATTACTAAACTAGGAGAAAAACAAAATTACATGAAATATTTATTTAGATGAATGATACGAATAAACAATTACTTACCATTTCGCTGTACAGACTTTATGGGTATAACAACTGCTAGATAATCGATTGATATATTACGGGAAGCTTCAGCATATGTTCCATTGGTATTGACTTCGGATGTGTTATAAGTTTGATCTGTATTGTAATAAATTAATATTATTAATTTAGATATAGAAAAATACCTTGACGAATATATATTAAATATGTCCGTACAATTCCATACTCATTGGAAAATAATGTTGGATCAATATCGATGACATATTGTTCATACGTTGACAACTCATCGTCGTTTTGTGGAATAATTTTTTTCTCTATATCATTAGAATCTGGTGGTGGAGGTGCTTTTAAAAATATCAGATTATGTTGAAAAAATAAACTGAAAGATGAAATATTTACCTTCTTCTGATGTTTCGATTGAAAATGTTTCCGATGAAACATTTTTATTTGAAACTAATTCAACATGAAGAGTATAACTGAAAGAGAGAGTAGATATATTACCAAAAGAATAAGAAAAATTGACCTTTATTTACCTACGAAAAGGTTTAATTTCTGTTGTAAAATTGTAAGAAAAGCTTTTTTCATCCGATGGAAAGTCACTGAAGTTTTCCATAGAAGTATTGCTGAATATATTAAATGATTGAATATATGTAACTTCACTTATTGTCCAATTGATTGATATCCATCGTGATCCTTGTTTATGATCAGAAATATTTGGTTTTGAAGGAACTAAATAAATATACTTTTAATAGATTAAATTAACTCACTACAGCACTCACAAATAGAGAAATTGTATACTTGTGAATTTTTGCTAGTATAGTTTGCTTTTTCAGTTATAAAAGAACATTCATAGTCACATCCAGGAATTCCCTTAAGGTTCAATTGAGTCGAACAGTTTTCGTATCGCTCTGTGACATTTTCACATGGATTTGATTGATTATTAGCTACAGTACAATTGGATGCAATTGTATTAAAGTCACTGTTAAGAGTAACATTAAAAATAATCACACTATTGTTTGACGAGTTTGATCCGTTATACAATACAGGTTCTAACGCTAAAAAAACAAATCGTAGAATATCAATAAGGTGATTTGTAATGATCTTTGTAACTCACGTATCTGAAATATAACATTATCTGATACGGTATTATTAAATGTTTCTTTCATAGTAATAAGTTTACATTCATATTCAACTCCTTGCAACACTTTAGGTAATGTAATAGACGTGTAATTGGAACAGTTTACAATAGAATTATCTAAAGTGAGATTCTTCCTGAGTGGACAATTTAAATCACGTGCACTGCAATTCGTAACTATCTTCTCATATGATCCACGTGGACATGTGAAATTAATTGCTACTGATTCATTTGTGATTGATGTATTTATGAAGCTCAAATTTGTTGCGCTATCAAGTTCTAAATTAATAGTCAAATATAAAAAGAAAAGAAAATTAGTTAATCACAAATTAATTATTATCTTTCTTTTACTTGTAGGGATAATGATGTGTTGACTATATTGTGGAATGGTATCATTCATATCAGCTATTGGAATGGGTAGTCGAACTAATGAGACATTATATTTAGAACCGTGTTCTAAACCCCAACAAACTTGTGTACAGTTCTGTGAAAGAGTATTGTTGGTCTTATCTGAGTCGTTACATCGTACAACAAGATACTGTAGATCAGCTATTTGTGAACAATCTGGCTTAGAAATTGTTATTGATATTTGATTATTGTCATATGTTGTAGTATAATTAAAACCGGTATAATTTAATGGGGAAAGTGTTATAGTAAAATCTTCGAAATAAACTGCACTATTCGATGACGTTCGATTTATACTGAATGTCCAGTTTCGACCAGCATTATTAAGAATATTGTTACATGTCACATTGATAGCAATGTCTCCAGTAATATTTGAAACGTTATTAAGTATGCTGCAATTAGCAGATGTTTCATCATATAACATTGTAAAGCTATACAAGTCTGTAAACGGACAATCGTAAGAAATAAGTGCTGTGAACATATCTGATCCACGATTTTGTACAGTAATATTATTTGATTTTATATCAAAACACCTGTCAGCTATGTAAGAAATTATCGAATAATTAAAAAAGGTCATGTAGAAAAACAAACAGATGACTTACTAGTCGTTGCTGTTGTTGTCGTCGTCGTCGTTGTTGTGGTTATTATTATTGTTGAAGTCTCGGTGCTAGTTAAATCTGAAGTTATTGTAGCTGTAAAATCTATATTAGAATTCTAATTAATTTAGCAAATATGAATATAAAAAATAATTATTTACTTTCATCAGTGGTGAAATAATCAGATGATACAGTGGGAGAAGTATCTGTAGTATTCGCCATCGAAATATTTATACTGATAGTTACCTAAAATTACACGAGAAAGATTTTATTTTAATCATCAACATCAATAGAATTTTTTATGATTTATTTTTACCAAAAAGACAAATTGAATTGGCTTCCATAATCTGAAAACTGTTAAACTCATAATCAATTCTATCTAGATAAAATAGTAATTCAAATTGTTTTTGTTGTTCTCACAATAAGTATTGAATTACTTGTATAACTACTAAAAAAAGGATTGTAAAATAAGTGAAAATGTAAAAAACGACTTTAGTTGTCGTGTTATCAGAGAAAGACATTTTTTTACGTTTATATGTTTATGCATGTCATGTCTTTCATCATGTGCGAGACAGGTAAAAAAAGAATTATATCTTAGTAATAAAAAAAAACGAAAAGTAAAGTTAGTATCAGAATGACAAGAATATATGAGTAAGAAAGAGAAAAAGAGAGAATCGACAACAAATTATTCCTTAAGCAAACATGAATATCGAAACATAGACTGAAGTCATGTTAGATATATAAGTTCTTATTTTTCAAGAAAGGAAGTCCATTATCATAAGTGTTTTTTTGACTTGTTTTATCATCAATACTAAAATTATTTTAACTTAAAAAATAAAATTATTTAAATCAAAGTTTGTCACCTATTCGATATATCTTATATGCAAACTGATATTCGATATGACTAACTTAATTCGTCTCAAAGAAAATAAATATTGATAAAATGATAAAGACTAAGATTTAATGATTAATAATATGAAATCTTTTTGTAAGTTCGTAGTTCATTAATAGAGTATTATAAATCTTACAAAAATAATATCACATAAGATATTTGAATTTTGTATGCATATAAAATAATTGTGGGGTACAAATACTTGAAAATGTCATGTATTTATGTATCCTAGAACAAAAATATTTGTACAAGTACAATTTCATTCGTTTTTTTTACTGTAAAAATATCAACATAAGTCTCACAGTTATTCAATCTCAGATTTTCAAGCATAAATATCTATTACAACTGTCACCGATAATATATTCATGTAAATATGTATTAAAATCATGTCTTCATACATGTTTGAAAAAGAAACATGTATTCTCAATAATGAACAAGATTTTTCTTTTGAAATAATTTCATATGCAGTTAATCAAGTTAAAAGAAATACATATAATTTTTTTGTTCTTTTTTCAACATTTAATAAATGAAAAATGAAAGTCAATATCTCTGATAAAGTCATGACAAATTTCAAAGTCAAACTCTTTATGATATTCAATATGGAAGATATTTATAACACGGCAATGAACTGCTCACAAATGAAATTTAATATTTATAATAAAATCTTTTTATTATTAAAATTTCAGTACTTAGATATTAATTGTGGTATTTTTAAACTTAAAAGCTTGTGATAGGATTTTTTTCTTTCCAAAAAACGATAATCAAATCGAATATATTGACTAGTTTATTTTTAATACACGAAATAGTTCATCGTAAATGTTTTATCGGTGCTAAATTTTGTGTAATTTCTACTTTAACATTTAGATTAACTCTATTATTATTATTTGAACATTGATAATATTGTACAAACATGTCATTGAATAATGTTTCTTGTTGTATTGGTATACATTTAAGTGCTTCGAATTCTTTTGAAATAGAATTCAATGATGGTATTTGAACTGTATTGTTGTTTAATGTTTGTTGATGATTGTTTTTATTATTATTATTATTGAGGAACATTTTTGTATCGATTTAACGAAAAAAAATTATTAATAAACTAGTCAAAATTATAAATGCGCGCTTTTCTTTTTCTATTTTTAATGCGATGCGAAGTAAAATATTTCTTCCTTTCACGACGTACGTATTAAAAGTTGTCATTTTGTATCCTGATAGTCTCAAGAGCGGAACATCAGAAAACACTCCTTTAAATACGAGATGGAATATATCAAGATTGAATCGATAACAATCGCTTTTCGATTTTGAATATGGAATTTAGTTCCTTTACAGGAAACGTCGCGAAATACGATTTTAACTTGTATAGTTATATATCATATTGCAGATGCCAATGTTGATCAAATCTTATTGGAATTTTGTACTTCGAACAATTGAATCACACGTATTTTTTATTTACATACAAGATTACTTCATTTTCATAGATTATATCAAAACATCACATAAATCAATAAATAAAAACCATTCAAAGAAACCTAAATGAAAGATTATTTGATGTTTGATGGCAGAATTGTTTTAATGAGTATTATTAAATCACAAGAAAATAAAAATTATCAGTTTAATATTGGTTGTTAGTAATCGTTAAATACGTTTTTTCTTCGAAATTGTTATTACTTAATTATTAACATAGAAAAGTGCTATTAAACATTATTTCTATTACAAATTGATCAACTTTTCCTAATTAATATTTACTGTGTCGTTTCATTATTATTATTTGCATTCATCAAGTGATGACTATTAATACTTTGAAAATCGGATTTTGCATTTCTTCAGACTATTTTCGGATGTGGGTGTGGGTGTGATTATTCTATCCATTTCTCCTTCACTTCTACACACACACACACACTCAAGATGTACCCGCTTCGACCTGAGACAGTCTGATACATTCGAAGAAATTATATATACAGGTTTTTAAAATTCTTAATGAAACGGATAAAATAGATTTTTCGAGATACGCACATGTAACTATTCGACAAGTGTGATGTACATCTCTAAGAAAGAGTCTGAACGATGGTAGGGGTCTGTCTCTCAGGGAAAAATCTATATATAATGAAACAAAAGTAAATGGTTGAGTAGTTGAATTCAAGTTTCAGGTTAGAGACTATCTATTGTTGATTATATATCATCTATTTTCTCATCATTATTACTAGAAAATGTTCATCGATAGATGAAATCAGACATTGTCTTCTTTTCCATTCAATGAATATTATCATTGGTACACAAGTGAATGTACTAATAGAACTGTATTGAATCTTTGAGAAAGAAATTATTTTATTTTACATTCATGTTTTTTTATTTTTCGTTTATAGACGAATTTCAGGAAACTAACAATGATCAATTATCAACAGTCAGTATTTGCGGAACAATTGTTCCTTTGTATCTTAGGATACTCCATATGGAAAACGTCACTAATTTTGGTATAGCAATTTTTAAAACATTTGTTAAACGACTAGTGAGTTCCATGATGGTTTTGTAAATATATCAACAACTCCAATTTCCGTCTTGCAAAGATATGTATATATCCTATTGGTTGACATTCACTGTAATATTCTTTGTATTTCGTTGTTAAAGTTCATTTTTCAATCATCAATTCTCAAAGAAGTTGTTTGATTGTTGAATCAAGAGCTATGAAATTTGTTCATAAAGAAACTATTAAATATCGTCAGAGTGCATTGACATAAATTTGATTATATAACTATTCGAGAGATGATTAAAGAAGTGCTTCAAGAATGAAACATACACGATAGAGTTCAGGTATTAGAAATCTTTCTGAGCACATTTGGATAAGGTGTGACAGACATAATCGATGCAGCTCATTCTGTCCGGATATAACAGATTATCAGGAAAATAAGTACCGATTTTGTAGTTTGTTCCTCGTCCAGATTATAAACAATTCATGTAAGTTGTACTTCTTATCGAGTCAAGAGAAATAAGAAATCTACTTATTACTGACGATCTTAGTTGTTTAGTGGACGTTTCAGTTTGTGAATGAAATAAATTGAAAGGCGTCATGATGATACTAATATATTGGTTTCATAAGAATTTATTAGTTGATATAGTTCATTTATTGCTTGAAAAACGTATTTACCATTGAATCTGAAGTCTTTAACACGTGTCTGCAACATTGATGAAGACTCAATTAGAGAAGTAATTCAATAATTAATTACAAAGGGTGAGGGTTTGGCTACATATCTGACACCCTCTCACACACCCTCGACAAGAAAAATCCAACACAAATTTAAATGATAACAGCCACAATAATATTCTCCCTTTGAATCATAAAATCAAAAAGACAGTATAAATTGGAGAAATTTTTACTAGAAATTTATAGATAACAACCTGGAAAATTCATCAGTTTGGAATATTCCATTTTGAAAAACATACTAGTCGGCGTATCAATATAAACATTCAGTTTTCTTTCATACACTTACACTACTAAAATTTAAAATAGTATGATGTTTTTTTCTTTTCTTTCGTTCTGTTACATGAATATCTAAGCACGTTTACTAACAAAAGAAAGAGAGATACTAACTACAAATATTCTAACATAAACAAAGCAATTGCCTTTTTCAAAAATATAACGTGAGTAAACATACTAGTCAGCAGTATTATTGGGTATTCCTATGTACATTTATCGAACTGGTTGACTCATTGTCGAAAATAAAACATTTATTTTGTTTCCTTTTCGTAATACATATTCTGTATATAATTTAGATATTTTCAACGAATAAAAAATGAAACGTCAACGAACTGATACTTTCAATGGCAATGATAACAAAAGATTCTTACCGATGATTGAATCTTTTAGCAAGGCACAATTTGAAGATCTTCCGAATGAAATTATTTATGACATATTCGATTATCTTGATTTTTATCATGTTTATCAGAGTTTTTATAACCTAAATACTCGATTTCATTCTTATTTTCTCGACTCAAATGTTCCTCGAAAAATCAATCTTTTTTTAATGTCTAAAACAACATTTAATCGTTATAATGAAGATATAATTCTATCAAATAGACAACAAATTCATACTCTACGCATATCAAATTATTTTATGTTTGAGAAAAAATCATTTTCTTTCTCATATCAAACATCTCTTCGAACATTAATTATCGAAAATATCAAATCAGCAGATGTAAAAGTTATCCTTCGTCAATTAACTTCATTATTAAATCTTACCTCATTGAGTATTTCAACTTTGAATACAATTGAAAATATCAATTCTTTTTATGAACAAATATTTTGTTTACCAACATTAAAATATTTGAAATTATTAGTGGGAAGAAAGTATCCAAAAGTTATATCACCAATAACTATCAATAAACACACATCAATCGAATATTTAATATTCGATCATGGAATAGATTTGAATGAATTAATTGCATTATTATCACATACTCCATGTCTTCGACATTTATCAGCAATGTTATGGCATAGAACTAATTTTGAATTAAAATCTCCTTGCAACATTATGACTGATTTAACATATATGTCTTTAGAATTGTGTAGTAGTATACCACTCGATGATTTACAAAGATTTTTCATTAATCATTGTCCTTTTGTTGAAATATTACATATTTCTGCTAATGAAGAATATATTAATGCGACTGAATGGAAACAATTGATGTCTTCATCTTTACTAAATTTACGAATTTTTAATATTCAATTTCTAGTATATTTTACTACCGAACCACCATACGAAGAAGATATTGAACAAAAAATGAAACTTTTTAATTCTTTATTTTGGACTGAACGGCAATGGTTGTTTGAATACGAGGTTTCTATGACAATCGATAATTTTAAAATAATTATTTATTCGACAAAATCATTTGGGTAATTCTAACATTTACAATCATAAAAAAAGGAGAAACATATTTTTCTTTTTAGAAGAACGAAATACAAAATATGTGATGAATCACATGGGATAATTGACATCAATCATCTCAAATCAGTTGACCATATTAAAATTGCAAGTAAAAAAGCAATTAATCAATACATGTATGATTTTCCACATGCTACTAAACTTACTCTCGGACATACTCTTTCGATTACTTCTTCTGCAATGATAATAAATGAAATTATCGGTATTCTACGTTTAAAACAAATAGAAGTTCTCGCTATTGAATATGCTTATTTATGTCCTGTGATAATGTGCAAATTATTAGATTTTATGCCTAATATTCATACATTAACATTTCATTCAATGTCATTTAAGGAAAATAATACATTATCTATTGAACAAAATGACATATTTCAATCAATATCAAAAAGAAATGTAATTAAAAATGTTACATTCGAAGGAGATTGTGCATTATACAAGCTAAAACTGATCCTTGAATTATTTCCGCGCTTACAATGTATTAGACTAGATTCAAAATTAGAGCATATTCAATCAATATTAGAATATCTCTCGGACAAGAACCATTTAATTTTAGTATGTTTTTTATATGCAAGTAGATGTTGCATTTCACGTATAAATAAATTAATCAAAGCTGGAAGTTTGTCATATAACTTTAAAACAGCATATGATGATCGTAATCGTATAGTATATGTATGGTGGTAATATTGAACATACGTGAAAAACAATGTTTTTTTTTTGTTTTGAACATTTATTTATTATTAATAAACAAGAGTGCTTGTTGAGATTTGACGTTGTTTGATTTGGTTTGTCTGTTGTTTTTCAATAGGTACAGTGTAAAAATATCAATACGACTTGATTCTCATTGAGTAAATTAATTATAATTAGTAATCAAAATCAACAACCTAATACTAGTAACACTCATTTGTTGGTTCTAAAGAAGAATTCAGCACTAAATCATATAGCCACGCACACACTCAATTGAATAATTAATGGAATCATCAGTAATGCAATATAAATTAAAAAATAACTCGAAAACTATATTCAATCTCATATTGAGTTATTTTTGAAAAGCGCCCTCTATTGGTGTCTCATCCAATTGTATCGCTAAATAAACTAATAATACTTCTAGAGGGTTAAAGAAATTTCTCTTACGACATAAATTATTGGATGTACTTAAAAACTATTGATTATTATATTGTAGATATTCAATAATAATAAACATCATGCCACAACGTCGAAAATTTATTAATAAAAAAAAGGCAGTAACATTTCAACTTGTTCATCGTAGTCAACATGATCCCTTGATTGCTGATGATACTGCAGGTGAACATGTACTTGTTCCACTCGGTGTAAGTCTATTCATTGTTTTTTTTCAATTTATATATTTATTCTTGAATATTTAAAGGTTGATCAAAGAAAAGCTGAACAACTTAAATTTGGTATTGAATATGATGATGATTATGATTATTTACAACATTTACGTGATCCATGTGCACCACCAGAAAAATATTCGGTTCATGTTGATGAAAAAGAAGTAGAAGAAGATGATGATGATGACGAATATGAAGATGAAGATGAAGAAGAAGTTGAAGACGAAGGTGAACACAGTAATGTAAGAAAAATAAATTATTGTAATAATAATAATTCAATAGAATATGTAATTTAGCTAATGTCACGTTTTAATCTTCCTTCAACTGTATTCGAAAGTAGAACAACAAATGAAATTGGAATGTTAAATCTCGCTGCTCCAGATTCTGGTAGAAATTTATTTGAAAAAAAATCATTTATTAACTTTATTTTATATTAGATCCAAAAATTCATTGGGATCCAGATGTTATCGCCGCACTTGATGATGATGAATTCGACTACGACGCTGATGAAAATGCTATTGAGGATGATTTTATGCTTAAAGCTAATGGTGTTGAACCACTTGATGATGATGAATGTGCTGAATTCGAGTAACATCTCTTTTTATCAATATTCAAATAGCATATATCTGATACTTATTTTTTTTAGAGATGAAATCATGCATGAAAATTTACCAGCAACAATTCCACCACTTTTTATTCCTAAAACAAATAAACCAATTCCATTAGCATTAAGACGTTTTCTTGATCAAGGTGATGATGACGAAGATATGGAATCAAATTTTTCTCATGGTGATGGTGATAATCAAACATCAAAAACGAAATATACAAATTATTCAATGACATCATCTGTGATTAGAAGAAATCAAGGTTTACAAAATATTGATGATCATTTCGACAAAGTTTTTGATGAATATGATGATGAAGAAATTGGTGCATTAGATTCACATCAAATTAACCAACAAGGTGCTTCAATTGAAGATGATCTCGTTAAACAAACTATTCAAAAATTCGAAAAACAACTAATGCAAACGTACGGTTTAATTTTTTATTCATAATAATCGCAAGTCTTTTTAACTAAAATATAATTTATTATAGTGATGAAAAACTTGAAGAAGTTGCCATTGAAAAAACCAAACGATTAGCTAAACATTTATTGAATCAACCTGAAGTAAAAACAACAATAATTATTCAAGATGATGAAAGACAAGATGATAAATGGGATTGTGAAACTGTTCTAACAACATATTCAAATAAATTTAATCATCCAAAATTGATAACACAAATTCGAACACATAAAATTCGTTTATCAAACAAAACTGGTTTACCATTAGCTGACAAGGTTAAAACAGCAACAAAACAAGTATCAGCAGAAGAAAGCGATGATAGCGATGATGATAATAATCAACAGTCAACTATATTCGCAAGAAAGAAAGATGAAACAAGTGAAGAACGACGTGCAAGAAAACATGCTGTTAAAGACATAAGAAGGGTATTTTGAAATTTTCTTTATTTTTTTTGTTTTTCTTAAATTTCTATTTCAGGATCGTCGAATTATTAAAAAAGCAACGAAAATTGCTTTTAAACAAGAAGAACAAAAACAATTACACGAACAGGCTTTACATACAACACAAGCACATTTACAAAGTCTTCGTGTTAATTAAATTGTTTCTCGTTTTTCGTTTCTGTTTCTATAAAAAACAAAAGAATAAATTACATCCGTTTATCGTTCTTCCCGTTTCTTTTTTAGATTAATAAATTTCTTTAAGAATTAATTATGTCTAATCCAGAACAAGTTAAACATTCAATTGAAGTTCGTCCAACAAAACCATTTACTGATCAGAAACCTGGTACAAGTGGATTAAGAAAACCAACAAAAACATTTCTTGAAAATCAATATTTTGAAAATTTTATTCAAGCTTATTTTGATGATTTAGCTGAAACAACTAAAGATAAACCACCAACATTAGTTGTTGGAGGTGATGGAAGACATTTTGTACGAGAAGCAACAAGAATTATTATTCAAATGGCTGCTGCAAATAATGTATGAACCATCTAAAATTTATGAAAATAATATATATTTGTTTAGGTCAAAAAATTATTTGTTGCACGTGATGGTTTAATGTCAACACCATCTGTTTCGTGTGTTATTCGAAAACGTAATACAGATGGTGGAATTGTTCTAACTGCAAGTCATAATCCTGGTGGTATTGATAATGATTTTGGTGTTAAATTCAATATTTCAAATGGAGGTTCGTTATTGATTATTTTTTAAATACTAAAAATTTCGTTTTTTTTTATAGGTCCAGCTCCTGAAGCAGTAACAAATAGTGTTTATGATAAAACTCGTCAATTGACACATATTCGTCTTTGTCCAACATTGATAAATATTGATTTATTAACACTTGGTAAACATACATTTGAAATTGAAGGTCGTTCAACATCATTCGAAATTGAAGTTATTGATTCCGTTGATGATTATGTACAATTAATGAAATCAATATTTGATTTTGAAAAAATTCGAAATTTACTCAATGGTGATAAAGGAAAATTTCCAATAATGATAAATGCTTTATCAGGTGTTATGGGTCCATATGTTATACGTATATTTCATGAAGAATTAAAAGCAAAAGATGCAGTTACAGTTAAAAATTGTCAAAATTTAGAAGATTTTGGTGGACATCATCCTGATCCAAATTTAACATATGCTCATGAATTAGTTGAAGATATGCAACAAGGAGACTATGAATTTGGTGCTGCTTTTGATGGAGATGGAGTTAGTTATTAAAATATTTTCATTTCTATAAGATTCTAACAAATGTTTTTTGCAATTGTATAGGATCGTAATATGATTTTAGGCAAAAATGGATTTTTCGTAACACCATGCGATTCATTAGCTGTTTTAGCTGCTAATCTTAATGTTATTCCATATTTTCAAACACATGGTGTTCATGGTTATGCAAGAAGTATGCCAACATCAGGAGCTGTTGATCGGTTTGTATTGAAATTTAATAATTTTTTCTAATAAATTTCAAAATTTAATTAGTGTTGCTGAAAAAAACAAGAAATCACTTTATGAAGTACCAACAGGTTGGAAATTTTTTGGTAATTTAATGGATTCAAAATTAATTTCAATTTGTGGTGAAGAATCATTTGGAACAGGATCCGATCATATTCGGTTGGTATATTCTTCTAATTTATAATTACAAAAGACGGATGTTTTTTTTTTCGTCTATAGAGAAAAAGATGGTATGTGGGCTGTACTTTCATGGTTATCGGTTTTAGCTAATATTGATCGATCTGTTGAAAAGATTTTAAACGCACATTGGACAACATTTGGACGAAATTTTTTTACACGGTATTTTTGAAATTATTTTAATTTTATAAAACTTTACTATTCAATATATAGTTATGATTATGAAGAAATTGATGGTCCTGGCCCATTTGCAATGTTAAAACGACTTGAAGGAATGGCTATGTCAAATGAAATAGTCAATAAAACATTTAATACAGCTTATGGAACTAAACAATATACAGTTAAATTAATGGATGATTTTAATTATACAGATCCAGTTGATGGAAGTTATACAGAAAAACAAGGCATTCGAATTATATTTACTGATGGTTCAAGATTAGTTTTTCGTCTTAGTGGAACTGGATCACGTGGTGCTACAGTTCGTCTTTATGCTGATTCATATGAAAATGATCCTTCAACTTATAATAAAGATGCACAAGTAAAATTAGTTTTTTTTATTTACATTTTAAAAGAAAAAAACATTTTGTTTTTAGGAAATGCTTAAACCATTAGTTTCATTAGCATTGGAAATTGCTCAATTAAAAGAATTCACTGGACGTGATAAACCAACTGTGATTACATAAATTTAATTTTCTTTTATCATGTCCTTCTTTCCGGTTTTCAAAATCTTATATGATTAGTCCCGTGATCTTACTCCAGCTTTTAGCCGTAGAATAGATATTGATTTATTTTAAACCCGTATTATATTTATTTATGCATTTTTTTATTATTATATGATTAAACTTAGTTTAAGATGGATAAGATTTTAAAGGTGTAGATAAATAAAAAAACAAAAAGATCATTTTAAATTTTATTTTTTAATTAAAAGAACATGATAGACAAAGATTAGAAAAGACATTTCAAATTATAAACTATGAAAAACATCAAGAGACTTTCTTTTCTTCTAATAAGATTTCATGTCCATTAATATATCAGTTGCTGATCTATTTAAATCATCCCTCATCCAGATCAAATTGCTTATGGTATATTGTCGATTATTAGATAGTTCAATCAGTAAATATTAATAATATTTTTCAATATATATATACATGAAAAGATTACTTTTAATGATATAATGTTATTAACAGACTTGATAAATTCAATTAAAGTATCAACGTCGGCTAGGAAAAAACAGATCTTTATTATCTACACAGCATGAAGTCAACAAGTAGACAATAAACAATACTCTTCGATATAGATATATTTATTAGCAGAATATATTGAACTTCCAGTCTCATCTTTTCACATCACTTAACCTTGATAAATTACATTTGCTTCTCTTCAACTCTCGGTCGAAAATCATTCAATAAAAATACTAAATAATAAATGAATATTTTGCACTCAACGTTCATTGTTTCATGATATATATATAAGAACAATTGTTGAGTACACTTACCTAATGCTTATTTAACATTTTTTATTCATGCAAATATTCTTTTCAGAGATTTTGTTTTTTGTTGAATCTGCATATGTCCCTATGACTTGTTTATTGAAATATCAGAAAAATAAAGAATAAAAATGTCTACTATTATTATAATAACATGTAACAACTTGGACTGAAATGAATAGTTTATACGCAAAAGATAATTACATAATAAATGATAGATCAGATGTAATTGAATTATACAAAAACATTTGATAAACTTTACAATGTTTATAAAGAAATAAAAACGACGAATAATATGTATTAAACATGTTTCCAGTCTATTTTTACCTTTGTTGGTAATATGTTTTATTAAAATAACCTACGGCATGAAAATCTTGACAAAAAACCAGCTGGTTTTATCTCAAGATTTTTGTGCCGTAGGTTATGTGAGAAGTGTTTTTAAACTCTGTGTATTATTAATATCAATCGATCCAGAAACATAGATTTTTTATCTTCATGATCAATGAAATAATTATATTCGTACGTATAAAAATTAACACGACTGGGAGTTCAACGCCTACTCGTTCCATACTGTGACAATCAGTTTTTCTTGTTTAATGACTAACTCTACTAGAAGCATCATACGCAGTCGAATATGAATAACATGACATACACAATGAAAATTCTCACTATTTCAAACATGAAGAGCCATATGTTTCATTATTAATTATCCAATTCCAGACTATTTTTTTTTTCTTAAATATAAAGAAAATATAATTTTAATCTTTACTGACAAACTATTTTGTTTATTCAACTGAATGAACTAAGTACATTAAGTAATTCAAAATAGAATCATTTCTAATTTGTAATAATATCTGTAGATTTTTATTTCTTAACCTTTTGGAGAAATAATACAATTTGACAGTTCTATTTAGATAAACTCATTAGTTATTTTTTCTAATAAAACTTATAATCTTAACGTAAACATGAGAGGTATTTAATCTAAGAAAGTTTAGAAGATTAACTAAACCTAATCTTATATAATAAAAAATATTTTTAGGACTAATTTTAATCTATTTATATTCGTAGACATGAATGTGTTTGTCTGAAAAAGAAAAACTGAAAAATTGTTTTATTTCATATAGACATTTACAATTAAATTTCCTATTATTTTTTTCTTTTATTATAATTTATGCTGACGTCAAATGTCATAAGATCGAAATGAGTATGGCATTGACAAAAGACTAATAATAATAGTATAAAAATAAAAAAAAAAGATGAGAAATTTTCTTGGTTGAATAAAAAAAATAAAGCATTTTTCTTATTGTAGTCGTTTGTCTTTGTCATTTTGATTTGCGATCTATTGATACGTGTGCGTGTTACTATGCGTTGGTGTTGCCATCTCTTTACTGTTAATTATTCGGCTCGGTCGACAGAAATCTTGTCGGCTGTTTCTATATGTGTCCATTCTCATCTAATCAAAAGAACTATTCATTCATCTATTCATTTATTGCTATACTATCAACTCTTACGATTTTTTTTCTATGAAGAAAAGAGAAAAGTCATGGATGTATAATTGTTTTCAAGTAGGGTCTACTTGAACTATTTTTACATATGACTTTTACTATAATAATAATTATTATTATTACTTGACAAATATTCCCTAAGTTATAAGGTATGTGTTTCTTATTCAATTGACATATATATTTATAATCGATTTCTTTATGAGTTCATATAAAATATTTATTGAAGAAGAAAAAAACATCTTTAATATTGACGAGAATCGTTTTCTTGTATAGAAAAATCGAGCTTTGGAAATGAAATTGTGAAAATAGAAAAGAAAAAACAAATGGTGTTTTTCTCTTATCTGTCGTGAATTGAACGAAGAATAATAATTATGATTAGATTTGTTTTTACTTCTTATTACTAAATATATATTTTGATTATCTATGTAGTCTGTTAGATACCAAGATTGACAGACACAAGTGCCATATCGTCCACAAATCCATCGATGATTAGCAGTTGTCAGTTTACAAATGGACATATTGTTTTTTTTATGACCAAGGTTGATGTATTTTTTGTCTGTTATACATATATTTGATTATTTAATAAGCTGTTAGAATACAATTGAAATAGTTGATGTCTGAAAATAGTAACTACTAATTATAGTCGATACTTGATTTCCGTTATTAGTCAATGAAAAGAATATATTTTCTCCATTTTCAAAACCTTGAATATGACATTTGACTTATTCGTATTTCTTCATTTGTTTTGTTTTTCTTTTGAATCCAAATATATATATATTTATACGAATACTAATCAAGGTGAATTGTGTTATAGACTATAGAGCTTTCTTTTCTCTCTAGTTGATTCTATATTTGTCTTATTTAGTCAAAATTTGCATATAGATTATAGATGTTCTAATATTAAATGATCGCGGGTTTTCTTTCTTTTTTTTTATATATATTTCCTACATATTAATTGATATGGACATGCAATCATACGTCCGTCCAAAGATGCAGATAATCGAGTAAAAAAAATTATTATTTCAATTATCACATAGAAAGAGAAATAATATTTAAAAAAGAAAAGAAGAAGAAGAAGAAGTCCTTTCATTGTTTGAATCTTTCTCTTGTGTGTAAGCCATTGATTTCATTATAAAGTTTCATGTCTTTTGCGTAGTAAAAAAAACACGGAGAGATACGCAGCAGTAGTTAATATGGAGGAGAAGAAGCATTTATATTTGTATTCAAGGTTATTTTCTTCTATTGTTTGTATAATTATGTCGTATTTCTTATGAAAAATAATGTGACTACCCACATACACATCACTTGTCAAGACCATCCCATAATATTATAAAGAGAGCCTACTGTGTATGTATATTTATTCGTCCTTGAAAAACTAAATCAACATAATTTCTCTATGGGTACGTTCAATTCTATATGACTAGTTTTATTTGCCAATGACTAATAAATGATTGAACATGACATTTGTATAGATATTTTCGATAGTTATTTTCTATGATTGTGCACATCTTTAATTAAGTTTTGAATATTCAAAATTTAATGAGACTATTCATATGAAAAAATATTCATAACGAAGATGATTCGATTTTCAAAAGATATCTTTTTTTATTTAGAAAACAAAAATCAAATGATAATAATTGAGTATTTATTTGTTAATAAACGAGATTTCTAAGAAGAAGAAAAAGACAAAGTTACGAAAACATCTTCTTGAGTATTCTCTTGTTCATTTTTCTTCTTTTTTTTTTCTCTTTATATCTAACGATCGTTTGGAGAGTTTGTTTGTTTGTTAGCCTTCAGGGTCTATCGATCTTTTCCATTCATTTTTTCTTTTCTTCTTTTATTTTTTGGTTGACTACATCGTTTATATTTGTGATCAACCCTTATTCCGCACAATTGAACTAGAGGGTGAAGAACAACTTAAGAAAAAAAAAAGATTCACACCCTTATATATATATATATAAGATAGAATCTAATTGTTTTCGAGATCGAGTTCACTATACATGAGTGAGAATAGAGAAAAACAAGTCGTTGTAGCAAATAAGAAGGGATTAATTTCTTGCTTGAGCAAGTCTCAAAACCTATTCGAAAAACGTACGTGATTGATTGAAAAATGAATGCAATTCAGATCCAATTCCGTCATTCTTTTTTTCTAATACAAAAAGTAATAGTCGCACCTCCATACTTTCATATAAGAATAAATGATAGCACTTTGGATCAAATTTCAGCGTCGTACTTGGTTGCTGATGCTGATGCTGCTGCTGTTGTTGTTATTATTATTATTGCTGTTATTAGCCATACCCCTCCTACGTAAAAAAGAAGAAGGAAACAGGCTCGTTATTAGATGAAACATTTGTACTTTATTCTAACTAGTTCTTTGTTTGTATGTTTTCATATCTTTAACACGTTTTTTTTTTTTATCAAATATTTTTCTTTTCTTTTTTGATTTCTATCTTCGTTATTTATATTAATGATTAACTAAGACGCAATTAATAGAAGAGAGAGAAAAATAAATATTTAGTCGTAATGACGTTTGAATATGACAGGTTATCAATGATAATCATCAGGTGATTTTTTTTTCTACTTAGTTTTTTTTATACATTTTATCATCTTGATTAAAATCATTTTTTGACCACTAACATATATGATAAATTATTTTTCTACTTTTTTTTTTTAGATTAATATACATAGATATATATATTGAATAAAAAACACACACACACGCAAATCATTATTCAATTTTTATTACAATATATTCTACAGGTATTTTTTTACGAGAACATTCTTTTTGTTTTTAATGGTATTTTCTTATTATATTCGCATTAGATAATAATAATGAAGTACTGGATATAAGCTTGCTGTTTATTAAATTATCGACATATCATGATTATGTATACTAAATGAGAGAATATATCAGAAAAATAATTGTTCGACTCATCGTCTAGTCGATGGATCATTAGTTTTCTTTTTTGACACTTACAAAACTAATGCAAAAATTTTGTAAACATTAAGAAATAAGAGAAGACATTAGATACATGAGAAAACTATACATACCAATAATAATAATAATACTAATATAAAGAAAGAGAATTTGTGAATACTATGATTCATATTATTAGACTATCTTTAGAAATTTATGAGGTTTGTTATTTAATCAGAGAAGAAAAGAAAGAGTTATCTAGTTAGGAAGAAAATCCGGATACGTTTTTAACAATGAATAAACTTTTGTTTCGATATGTAAATATTAGGAAGACTAATACAAATGAGTAAAGAAGTTATTATTTCCGTTTTAATTATCATATAACTATATATATATTTAGATGTTCTGGTGATGCATATATGTATCGGTAATTTCTATCGATAATTTCAACATATGTTTGGTTCATTGGATGTATTGCCTACGGGCCTTAATTTAACACTTGATGAAGAAGATGAACTTGTTAAAAGTGTTGTCAACTTTTTGGGTCATCGACGACGAGATAAATTTGCTTTTCCATTACTTATAACACTTTATTCATTTATATTTGCAACTGGATTAACTGGAAATCTTTGTAATTGATTTTATATTAATAAACATAAAAAACAAAATTATATTTTCTTTTTAAGGTACTTGTTTTATAATATGGAAAAGTCGTGATATGCATACACCGACAAATTTTTATCTTTTTTCACTTGCTGTTTCCGATCTTCTATTAATCAGTCTTGGTAAGTAGAAAAAAAAACAAAAATAATAATTCTTTTGAGAATCAAAATTTTATCTTTCTTGTGAGTATATATCAGTAGTGTTGATAAGATTTGTCTGTCATTGATACATCTTATCAAGTATTAATAACAGTAAATATAACATAAGAATGTATGATCTTTACTCTCATGAAATATGCTGATGTAAATCGATCGGATGTCTATATTTATCAACAATTTTTTTGTCAATAGAGGAAAGAAAAACTAATATTCATGATAATTAAATCTATCGAGTTAATAAATTCCTTAAACATTCATGTTTCTCTTTTCAAATGATTAATTAATAGATCTAAAAACAAATCTTAATCACGAATAGTTTTTTCTTTGTTTCAAAGAGAAGAAAAAAATAGATGTACCCATAGGACATATTGATAGTTATAATTTATTCAAAAGAAACAATGGAAATGAAAAACTAAATGATATATTTCTATTTATAGGTCTTTCTGTAGAAATGTATAATATATATGAATCATGGCCATGGTAAGACAAAATAAAAAAAACCAATCTGAAATTTTATTTTATTTGTTTGTTTTATTAATTAAGGATTTTTGGTGAAGCATTTTGCGTATTTCGTACAGTTGTACTTGAAATTGTAACATCAGCATCAATATTAACTGTACTATGCTTTACAGTTGAACGTTATCTAGCTATTTGTTTCCCAATTATATCTCAAAAAGTGCTTGGTGGTTTAAGTCGTGCACTAAAAATGATTATGATTGTTTGGTTTCTATCATTCCTACTTGCTGTCCCATATACATTTACTGCTGGAGTTTTTGTTAGTGTAACAGGTGACATACGTAATCAAACAGTTCAAATTCTTGACAGTCGTATCTGTGCTATACGTCCTGATTATTGGGAACCAATGTTATATTATATGGCAGTAACAACATTTCTTGTTTTTGTCATTCCAATCTTTGTTATAAGTGTACTTTATATACTAATGGGTATAACATTATATAAAGCAAGTCGTCGACCTACGAATGATCGTCGTTATAAAGTAAATGGTGTTAAACATGAACAAATTTTATTGACTCAAAATGGTGAACATCATGTATGGTCAAGACAAAATAATGTTTCAATGGTTAAATCAACACCAACAAGAAATTCTCGACGAGCTGTACTTAAAATGCTTGGTAAGAAAAGATTTAAAAAAAAATTCTTAAAATTTATTTTCTTTTATTTAAAATGGATAGTGGCCGTTGTTATTGCATTTTTTATTTGTTGGGCACCATTTCATACACAACGTATAACGGCTTTTGTTACACGATTATTGGACAAAGCAAATAAGGAGATAACATCAGATGCAGCAACGAAATTTCAAGAAATTCTTTTTTTTGCCTCAGGTATATATAAAAAAAAGATCTTTAATAACAATAATAAGATTTGAATAGTAGATATTCTCATATTTCTCCTAATAATGTATCTAATATTTCATCTATGAATAATTCATATTATGTCATAAATAGAATTTTTCTTCTAAATATTGAATTTATTTCTTTTTTAGGTATACTTTATTATCTATCAGCTACTGTAAATCCCGTCCTATATAATATAATGTCAAAACGTTATCGAAATGGTTTTAAACGAACATTATGTCGTTGGACAATTCCAACTCCCACAACATCTTATAGAAATTTTCGTTCAAATGGTTTAAATAATAATAATAATAATCCAAGTCCATTATCTCCAACATTAGCTTGTACAAATAATCTTCATCATCAACAACGATTAACATATCCAAATAGTTTGAAAAAAACTGAAAAAAAACCTAATAATTCATTATGTCAACGTCGTAATCATAGTCGTCGTGATAATATATTTACATTTTCAATGTCAAAATATAAATTTGTTATTGGTTCTCGTACACTTGCTGAACATCGAAGTTGTCCTGTACATAATCATCGTCGTCAAACATCATTTCATTATCGATTTTCTACAACTGAACAACAAGAACGTGATGAACAACAACGACAATTACAAACACAATTACAACAAAGAAAACTTTCATCAAATTTTACGCAACAATCGAAAAAAAATCGCGCAAAAATTTTATTTTCAACTGCATCACCAGCAACACCACCGAATTCATCGAATAGTGAACCAAAAACTCTAACACAATTATCTAATGGAAAGCATTAAAGAATTTCTTCTATATATAAAACAAGAATTATTATTATTATTTTTTCCGTTCTTTTGTTTTTATATATATATACATAGAACGTTATAAATATGTTTATGTTAAGACAAAAAAATAATCATGAATTAAAATTATGTGTGGATTTCATATGAGAATTTTTGTACAGAAAAAAAACAAATATAGAATTTTTTTTATTTATAAAAATTTAAATGAAACTATTTTTATTTTTATTTAAAAATACTGATTATGAAAAACAAAATTAATGACTGATATTTATTTTTAACCGTGTCTGATAATTTGATACTATAAAACCACTTTTTATGAGGAGGTTTTAATTACAGCGTTTTAAAATAAGATTTCTTATAAATATAACATAAAATAATGAATATTTAATCCTATTTAGATACAAGTAACGCTCGTCCGAGGACTCGCTTAGCTCTTTCTCGTAAAAATCCACTTTCTTCACATTTACTGGAACAACAAATGAAAACCGTAAAAAATTGCTTTTCGATGTTTTTTTGACCCTGCGGACATACAAGCAAGCAAGCAAGCAAACAAACAGTTTATGTCTACTGGACTCTTCTCTACGAGAAAGAGAACTATTTATAAAGTCTATATGTATATATTGTTTGGCATTCACATTTATTTAAGAAAAGCAATTTCAATTAAATGAAAATATTAAACAGCCGTATATCCTCCATCTATAATCATATTTGCTCCAGTAATAAATGAAGCTAAATCTGAAGCAAGAAAAACTATCATATTAGCAATTTCTTGTGGATGACCTAGACGATGAATACATTTTCCTCCATGTTCTTTATCAAATTCTTCTTTTGTAATACCTCCTTCAGCTGCTGTTCGATATAATGTTGGTGAATCAACAGCACCAGGACTTACAGTATTCACTCGAATATTAAATCCACCAAGATCAAGTGCTAAATTTCGTGTCATTTGAATAATAGCACCTTTTGTTGTTGAATAGGGTAAAAAATTTGAATGAGCAACAAGTCCACCACAACTAGATATATTTATAATTGAGCCATAATTTTGTTTTTTAAGAATTGGTACAATATGTTTTATCATTAAAGCATAACCACGAATATTAATATTCATAACATGTGACCAATCATCAACAGAAACATCTTCAACATAACCAAGTGTAAATGCTGCTGCTCTATAATTAGATAAAAAGAATAATAATTTACATATATATATTTCTGTTAACGAACGTATTAATAAGAATATGTATTGTATTCCATTTATTTAATGTTATTTCAATAGCTTTTTTAATTGTTTCTTCATTTTCTACATCAAGCTCAATTGGAAGAATTCGATCATCTGTATTTTCTAAATTAAATATTTCATTTTTAACTTGAATAATTCTATCAATATTTGTATCGGCTAAGACAATATAAGATCCATGTTCATAGCATGTTTTAGCAATATGTCGTGCAATCCAACCAGCACCACCGGTTATAAAAACAATTTTATTAGAAAGTAATAAACGCCAATTTTCAAGAGAATTCGCTTCAATTGACATTTTATTTTTATTGTTATTTAATCAATCTACAGAAGAAAATTCAAACATCTATTATTGATTTTATTTCTTTAGATTCGATGAAAACTAATTGTGAATAACTTGTATAATCTTTTTTTCGATAACCTTGTTTTTAATTTGTTCTTTTTTCTTATCTTTTTATTTTTTGTAAATCGATTAAAGCGAATAGTATTGTTCTCCCATAATTTAGGTCTTAAGTTTTACTCTTGTGGCGCCTTCTATGTATATTCGTTACACGATCAAAATCAAATATTAATTCAAAATAAAGAAATCTTTAACTTTAGGCTAGTCAAATTATCAACAATTTTGTTATCGAAACTCATTTCTTAATCAAAATGTACCTGAAATGTAGATTTTTTTAAAAGAATTTTATATTTTATTCGTTAAAATGATAACGATTCATCTTTAATAAAAAAACGAAGAAAAAGGTATGCACTTATCTAAATTGAATAAAAACAAACAAAGAATGTAAGGTCACAAAAGATATGAATAAAATCATTTTCTATAACCGACTCGTGTAACCTTTGATAAGGAAAGAAGAGAAGATGCGAATATAAATCTTATCTTTTTTTTAAATTTAAACTAACATTATTTGAGTTTGTTTTTTTTCCAATTGAAATAAACTAATAATGTCTTCTACATCTGTTACTACTATAACTCGAATCACAGTTGATGATATTCGTTTTCCAACATCTCAACATCTCGATGGTAGTGATGCTATGTCACCTGATCCGTAAGATAGTTTTATGTATAATAAAAATTAAATTGTTTTTAATTTATAGAGATTATTCATCTGCTTATGTTATTCTTCATACTGATGATCCATTACTTGAGGGTCATGGTCATTCATTTACAATTGGTCGTGGTACAGAAATAATATGTACAGCTATAAAAGCTCATGCACATTTAGTTATTGGTCGTACCCTTGAAGAATTTATTTCAAATCCGGGTACTTTTTGGCGTCATTTAACAAGTGATTCTCAACTTCGTTGGATTGGACCAGAAAAAGGTGCCATACATTTAGGTTTAGGTGCTATTGTCAATGCTCTTTGGGATTTATATGCTAAACGTGAAGGAAAACCATTATGGAAACTTATTTCAGGTTTCACACCTGAACAATTTATAAAATGTATTGATTTTCGTTATATATCAGATGTTTTAAAACCTGATGAAGCATTAAATATGTTAAAAAAACTTGAATCAACAAAATCTGAACGTATAAAACAACTTGAAGAACAAGGTTATCCAGCTTATACAACATCAGCTGGTTGGCTTGGTTATTCTGATGATAAAATTCGACGTTTATGTCGAGAAGCTTTAAATGACGGTTTTACACATTTAAAAATTAAAGTTGGCCGAGATTTAGAAGATGATATTCGACGAATAAAAATTATTCGTGATGAAGTTGGATATGATAAACGTATTATGGTTGATGCTAATCAAGTATGGGATGTTGATCAAGCTATTGAATGGATGAAAAATTTAGCACAATTTCAACCATATTGGATTGAAGAACCAACATCACCAGATGATATTCTTGGTCATGCTAAAATATCTGAAGCACTTCGATCATATAATATTGGTGTTGCAACAGGAGAACATGGAATGAATAGAATATTATTTAAACAAATGTTACAAGCAAATGCTTTACAATTTTGTCAAATTGATTCATGTCGTTTAGGTGGAGTTAATGAAGTTTTAGCTGTATTATTATTAGCAGCGAAATTTAATGTACCTGTATGTCCACATGCTGGTGGAGTTGGATTGTGTGAACTTGTACAACATTTATCTATGATTGATTTTATTGTTGTTAGTGGAACATGGGAAAATCGTATTACAGAATTTGTTGATCATTTACATGAACATTTTGACGATCCTTGTATTATTAAAAATGGACGATATGTTGCACCCACTAAACCTGGTTATAGTACTCAAATGAAAGATGATAGTCGACAACAATATTCATTTCCAAATGGTCCTATATGGAAAAAATAGAATTTATATAATTTTTTTCTGATTAATTTAGTTTATATAATAATTATTTATCTATGATATTAATTCTAAAAGAAAATAAATAAATTACAAATAATTTCTTGTTATGATTATATTACATGATATTCTCTTTATTTTTCATTAGATAACTTCTTAGATTTCGCGTAAACAATAATGTTATATGATCTCTCTCTCTCTCTCTCTAATGAAAACATTTCCACTTTCATAAAAGGTTTCCGAATTTCTGCTTGATTGCATATGGATCATGTCAGATTGATTATTGTATTTTATTTGTTTATGATTTATTAATCTTTAACTATATCTACAAATTATAGTTTTGTCTGAAAATAAAAATATTATTTATAACGAAAAAGAGTTATAAAACCTTTTTCATAAATCAAATTGATTCTCTTTGATAATCATTTTTACTGAATAACCTTTTGTTATCTTGTAAATGTATTCCATTCAACATAAAACTAGGTTAAAAAAACCTAGGTTATTTACTATTCAATCCTTTCAAAGTTATCACAGATGAGTTTGGAATAGGTTTCGTATTAATAAAAGAAATTTTTTCTCTACATAAGTACTGCCCTATATTTTATAGTTATAAGCTGTTTTTAAATATATTACATTTTTTTTAATAGTGGGGACATCGATTATTGGCTAGAAATGAATTATTCAGTTTTTATTATATTGTATTTTTTTATGATAATAAGCTTAAAAAATTGATTTGATTGATGAAGAATAATACGGTAAATATAAGAGAGTTAAATAAACGTAAAGCAACAGAGATGTGCGATTATGTATTATTTTCTTTTTAAATATTTCCATCGAGAAATAATATTTTAATTATAAAAATAAAATATCAATTTGTCTAATTAAAAACGTCGTCATAACTTATGTTTAATTATTATGTGTTTCATAGTAACGAACCTCTTTTACACAAGCGACATAAACATTTAATTTAGTAGATCTTAGCAAAATTTATGGAAATAATAATTTTAGGGAAGCTATGTGATGAGATATTATAAAATCAAACGTTGAATAAATGAATATATGATACAATGAGTTCGCCTAATTTTTTACTCGTTGTTTTTTCTTGGAAGTTACTATACAAATAATTATTTTATTCTATTAAAAAAAATCTTTTTCGATATTTTTTTTTCTTTTAGTTATTTCGTGCATTCCAAACGCACCTGAATTCTCATGTCAACTGTGGCAATGAAGTTATATGGTTTATCGAGTTTAACCTCAGATCCAAGATAACTATATGTGTTAAATTACGAACTTGAATTAATAATAATTGAAGAGCTATGCGTTTATAAGATCGTTTCATGTGTTAAAAAATAGATAATACATCCAAATTTCTATAGAATTAAATTATAGTCTCTTTCAAAAATATAAATTATGCTTTTATATTTAAATCTATAAGTACAAAGCTTAATTGTGATATTCATGTTTTTTCATAGTTGTTCTTAAATTATTAAGAAAAATAATTTCAGTCTGTCTGACTATATTATTCTTGATGAGCCGATTATATTCATTTTCTTTTCTTTAGTGTAAGACATAAAAACTACGGATATAAAAAGTAGCTCAACAAATATTTCTTAATTACGTTTTTCTAAGGAATCGTATCGTTATTTGTAAGAAAAAAAAAGTAATGTTTCATTTCCTTTTCTTATAATACTAATCAGCTTTTTAGAAATAAATAGAAGGCTTTCCTTTTTATATTTTCTAGTAAACTATTTCTCAGAAAAGATGAGTAGTTTCTTGTAATATTGACATATAGGACGGTGAAGATTGAAACATGGTTGAACTTGATGTAATTTCCCATCAACTTATGATTATAGTTGGTATAATAATGTATATCCTTGGATTTTTTGGTAATATATTAAATATATGTGTATTTACCAAATGGTCATTTACACGGAAAACTCCAAATGAAAATAACGCAAATAATCGAACCGGTAATAGTTCTTTATATTTACTTGCAACCTCCATTGCAAATTTTATTTTAATACTTTATCCACTTTTCGTTCGTATTTACGTCGACGGTTATCAAAATTTAGTAACACCAACTAGTGCTGTATTACTTTGTAAATTCCGATATTATGTTTTACAAACATCTCTTGTTATCTCATTAGCATGTATATGTTTGGCAACATTTGATCGATATTTAATAACAGCAAGATCAGTTCGTTTACGACAATTAAGTACAACAAGACGATCAACCCAGATAATTATTTTAAGTATTACTATTTTCTCTGCTTTACATAGTATACCAATGGCTCTTTACTATGATAAATCGAGTACTGGTGATTGTTCAATTGTTTCGTTAACCTATTCGAATTATTATTTATATTTTGTTATTGTTTGTCTATATGGAATATTTCCCGTATGTTTTTTAAGTATATTTGGTACATTAACATATCGACAATTAAAAATGTTAAAACATACAAATCAAAATGGAAGTTTAAATATCGATAAACAATTATCACGAATGCTTTTATTTCAATGTATTGCACTTGTATTTTCTTATATCCCATATTGTGCTCAAAATATTTATTTTTCAAAATTTGTTGACAAAAAAGTTGCTCCAACAGGATTTAATCTTTTATTTCGTATATTAACAATTATTTTATTTTATGTTAATCCAGTTATGAGTTTTTATATTTATTATATTTCGACACCAAATTTTCGTCGTCAAGTTAAAAAGATTATTTTATATCTATGTCATAATCGACAAACAATACATAATCGAGTACATGATTTAACTACAACAATTGGTGTACACTAAATTCTTTTTCATTTAAGACAATAAAATTACTTTTATTTATATAAATATGTATTAGAAATCTTAAAATGTCAAAAGATGACGTTAAGTATGGATAATTGTAATATCAACAAAGTCACATTTCTCATGACAAGACATTTTAAGTTAATATATATGAGAATTACGATTTCTATGTTGTATTTACTTGTAAATATATTTGTATAGAACTTGTTTGGTTAATATACAGTGTTGACTTCCTTTTCCCCCTAATTATCAAATTAGAATTCTATTCAATTTATGGATTTTGTTTTATAAATAAGAATAACTGTAAATAATGAGTTTTTTTTATATACAAAAAAAGAACTAAACATAAATATGTTGGTTGTATTTATCTGTTAGTTCATACTCTATATCTGATGTATATTAATAAAATATATAACAGAATATTATGAACTATTTGTGGTTGTTATAAAAAGAAATTCTAATTTTGACTGTCTAAAACATCATGCTGATCTATGGAATTTTGATAATGAGTAATAAAAAGGTTTTTTCTATAAATATAGATATTATATTTACCCTTTGAGTCCCGGCGACGTATATTTACGTTCTGATGCTGTTATTTAACAAAGATACTTCTAGTATGTTCTTTAATTATTGAGTGATATTACATAAGTGTAGTCTTTCTCTCCTTTCTTTTACTTTGCTACATTCTCATATCCTATTCGCCTGATCGTTCAATATTTCCCTTCCCTTATTTCACAAAAATATAATTTGCTTGTAAAGAAATAAAGATCATGTTTTAGAGTTTATTATAAAAAATACAACTAATAATAGACGACATATTCTAATATTTCATCGCTTCATATATCAAATACAAATATTCGTTCTAATAAATGCAGATAACTGATGAAGACTTACTACAAAATAGGAGAATATCTATATTAGAGTGTTTTAACATGTGCAAAATTGATTCTTCACATGCGTCTATATATATTTGACAGCAAAACTTTGATATTCATATAAACAGTAAAGGAATATATATGATTTTTGGTTAAAAAATTCTATTTGAATATATTTTAAATAGAAAAAGATCATTATAATTCTCAATTTTAATATTGAAACAATGCAAAATATATATTCATATATTTTAAAAGTTAAAAATCTCTAATAAAATAAATATAAATCAAACTTTGATAGGCGAAAAACGGGTAAATCAGCAAAAATTCTCAATTAGATCGTTATTTGCTTGAGTTTACATTTTATTATGAGGTATTCTTTACTCTTATTGTTGTTGTATTTTGTATAGCATAGCTAGAAGTATTCAAATTTTATTAATATAATATTAACCAGAAATACTAATTGTTTAATTATCACATCGCAGTTCGATAATTCTGGTGATTAAAAAATTACTTATCCATAAAGCAATGTCTTCTTCTCTTTACAGACGATCGAAAATAGTATAGAATGAGCCAAAACATATTTTCAGTAATACGCTTATCCTGATATTTACGACTACACGGATAACGTAAAAAAAGATCTTAAAACTTTTAGATACAATGCATTCAATTCAGAATGATAGATGTGAATCATAAAAATTTGGTTGTATAAGTTGTAGCTTGTTTCTAATAAGAGCAAATGAAAAACGATGGTCAAGTAGATGACTGGAGTCAAAGTTATCGCACTTCCGAGTCCGAGCCATTGAGAAAATATGTCGCAAAGTATGAAACAACTGATTCTAACTAATTTTGTGTACGAATCGTACTATTTTTATTTATGTAAAAAGAAAGATAAAAAGGAAGTCAATTTTACATTCTTATAATTTCCAATGCACAATAATTTTGTTGCCACTACGCTGAATTGTATAGTTATCATTAACTGTCTCGGAATCGATTATCTTTGCTAAAGTTCTAACCAAATTTTCATCTGCCATACGAAAATTGAAACACAGATAGCAGAGATTAGAAATACGTGTCCTGCGATTCATTGAAATAAGTTCCATAAGTAATGGGACATCTGTATTTGACAAACAGTGTACCTCAAGGTATTCCATTTGTGGAAAAAGATTGATAAAAAACTGAATTTCTTCTTCTTCTGTAACCTGACCAAGTTTGACTTTTGTTATTTTGTTAATAGCCGATACTAATAGATGATCTCTAGAATGTTCAATAGATAAAGATTGTAACGGAAATATCAGCATAAATCTGAATTTTAATGATTCAATATTTGGCAACAGACGTAGAATATCGAGTAACAAGTGAATACACACGCTATCATGTTCTATATTTAGATGAGTAAATTTAATCGCTCTAAAAGTAGGTATTAATTTCTTAATAGATCGCCAATTAAGATCGACACCTTCATAATCTTCAATAGTTAATTGTATGACACCATGATCAGTTTTTTCTCGATTAGCAATATAATTATGTTCTATTGAATTTTGTCTCGAATATGTGTCAGTATCTTTATGTTCATGAAGATCGATCCATTCTTTTCTGATAAAGAAAAAACAAAACAATATATAAAATCATTTCAGCAAAGATTTTTCTAAATATACTTATATGGAAAAATTGAAAAGTACATTGTTTGACAAAATATTTTTAGCTCACGAAACCATTTTCGTTCAATCCAAAATGGTGAACTAAATCGATTAATGAATCCATCAGTTGAATCAATTAAATTTGTCTTCTTATTATTTTTAATATTCTGATGAAAACTAAAGTAGAATTTTTTTAATTGAGGCATATATTCTTTAATTAATTGTTCCCAACGATTACCATCAAGATAATTTTTATATGAAGATATATTAATTCTAAACGTTTGTAATTGAGAGGATATTTCTTTAATAAACACTTCGAATTCGTCAAATGAAACAGAAACTTCTTCAAAACAAATATATTTTAAGTGTAGTAATTTCAATGATAGATCTGTTTTGAATTTTTTGTCCGATTTAATCACACCATGACAAAACAGACGACGAATTTGTGGTGTATAATGAAGTAGAGAATTTAGTTGATTAAGAGTAAAATAATCATTAATATGCATATATTCAATTATACTAAATCTGTTGTTGATTACATGTGGAATATTAATTTGTAATTTATCAATAACTGTTCCTAATGTGTTATGTTTTAACGAAGATAAAGAAAAAATTAGTGAATAAATGTTCCCAAGATCATAGTAGTTATCATTCATTGTGTTCCTTATAGAAATGCTTAGTGAAAAGAGACGAGGTAAAGATTTTAAATAACAAAGACTTGTGAGTAGTTGCTCTGTTTTGATTCTATGAAGACTAATTGATTCAAGTCGATAAAATGATGAATTAATAGTGCAATGATTAAAGAACGTATCAATTAGTGATGGAGCAGTCGAAAAATCATACAAATGAAGGAAACGAATACGATGTGAATTTGGAATAATAACTTGTTGACAATGATCTTCGAGCGAATGTTTTGATTCTGAATCATGTTTTATTCGGAGTAAAAGTGACGAAGAAATAATAAGGGTTTGTAAGCGATTATTAAGATTTGAAAATGATTCATATATATCATAAGCATCAAGATAGTCCAATATTTCGTACAAAAGTTCAATGGATAAATTTTCAAAACAGGTGTACCATATACTGAAAAAATATATTATAGATTTTAACAGTCGTGTTTACTAATTACCTTTCGTCACTCAATCTTGCTAAAGAAAACAAAATGAAAAAAAATTACTCTAATATAATTCTCATTTACTTCGTAGCCTTTTCGTTTCCACATCAATCAATTGAGTTAAACTTAGTTGTCGTTTGATTTGATTCATATTTATGTAACAAGTAAATATAAATTTGTAAAAGTTTTCTCAAGTGTACAAAATCAACTGACTGTAATGGTGTGAAGAAACTGGATTTTTTTCTCTGTTCGGTATATATACAAATGAACATCGATTAGTCACTATTTTCTATTTATTATTCTTTGTTCTATCATTTTCTATTTGGAAGAAATATAAGAGAATAAAATAAGTATTTAATGCTTAACACGTGTTTTTATTTTCGATAAAATTTGATGTATATATATATACAGATTAATTACGTTATTTTTCATATATATAAACAGAAGAGCAGTAAAATTATAGAAGACGATGTTCGAAACAGTAGATTGGGTGATACAAAAACAAATTTAGCAGTAGTGCGATGAGATGATAGATCTTGAACATCAGTTCTATTACGTGACATTTATTTAAACAGAATTTTAATAAATCGGACGAAATTCACAGGTGTGGGTGTGGGTGTGGAGATTCTATTAGTCACTCGTTTGTCTCCATCCACACGCACCCACTCTTTATATATCAAGATTGATGCTGCTGATATAGTATATTCACTCAGGATTTTTCGTTTTCTGTTGAAATACTGTGAACCTAGAGCGTGTGGATATGTTTAACATTTGACAAAAACGATCTCATCCAGGTCTACAGCATATCAAATTCACACCTACACCCTATTTCTTGCTCTTATTTTCATTTATGATAGATTTCATGATCGAAATACTAATTGTTTAATGACCACATCGCAGTTCGACAGCTTCTCTAATTTTTGAAATTACTTATCCATAAATTAATATTTTATTCTCTTCACAAACGATCGAAAATAATATAGAACGAGACAAAACATATTTTCAGTAATACGCTTATACTGAGATTTACGACTACATGGATTACTTTATAAAAAAGATCTTGAAAACAGTTTTAGATGCAGCACATTGAATCAGAATGATAGTTGTGAATTACAGAAAAATTGGTTTTATAAGTTCTAGTTTTTTTTATAAGAGCAAATGAAAAATTCTGTTCAAATAAATGACTCGAGTCAACGTTATCGAACTCTCGAGTCCGAGCCATTAAGAAAATATGTTGTAAAGTACAAAACAACTGATTCTAACTAATTTTGCGTACTAATCGTACTATTTTTATTTATGTAAAAAGAAAGATAAAAAACAAGTCAGTTTTCACGATACATAATTTCTTATCATTTCCAATGTACACTTATTTTGTCACCAGTACGCTGAATTGTATAGTTGTTATTAACTATCTCGGACTCGATTGTCATTGCTAAAGTTCTAACCATGTTGTCGTCTGCCATAGGAATGATGAAGCACAGACAGCAGAGATTAGGAATACGTGTCCTTCGATTCATAATAAATTCCATAAATAATGAAACATCAGTGTCTGACATACATTCTACTTGAAGATATTGCATATGTGGACAAAGATTGATATAAAATTGAATTTCTTGTTCTTCTATAACTTGACCAAGTTTGACTTTTGTTATTTTATTAATAGCCAATACTGATAGATAATTTTTGGTATCCTCAATAAATACAGATTCTAAGTCAAGTATTGGTGTAAATGACAGTTTTAATGATTCAATATTTGGCAATGAAGATAAAATATCGAGTAACATGTGAATACACATGTTGTCATATTCTATCTCTAAATGGGTAAATTGAATTGCTTTAAAAGTAGATTTTACTTTATTAATAAATTCCCAATTAAGTTCGGTATATTGAGAATCCTGGATAGTCAATCGTATAATACGATGGTCACTTTTCATATGTTCATGAAGATCGATCCATTTTTTTCTGATAAATAAAAAATAAAAAGATGTACACAATCATTTTATCAAAGATTTTTCTGAATATATCTATATGAATTAATTGTAAAATTCATTTCGTCGGAATCTATTCTTAACTCACAAAACAATTTTCGTTCAATCCAGAATAGTGAATTAAATTGATTAATGAATTCATCAGTTGAATCACTTAAATTTATCTGTCTATCATCGTCATCGAAATGTTGATTAAAATGAAAGTAGAATTTTTTTAATTGAGGCATATATTCTTTAATTAATCGTTCCCAACGATTACTATCAAGATAATCTTTATTCCAATATATACTAATACTGACTATTTGTAGTTGAGACGATATTTTCTTTATAAATACTTCAAATTCATCAAACGGAGCATCACAAGTTTCAAAACAAATAGACTTTAAATGTGGTAATTTCAATGACAGATCTTCTTTAAGTTCTTCGTCTGAATCAATCACACCATGACAAGACAGACGACGAAGTTGTGGTGTGTGTTGAAGTATAGAATTTAGTTCATTAAGAGTACAACAATGATCAATAACCAAATATTCTATTGTACTAAATTGTTGATTGATTACATGTGGAATATAAATTGGTAATATACTACGAGGTGTACATAGTCTGTTATATTCTAATGTAGATAAAGAAAAAATTAATTGGTAAATGTTTACAAGATCAAGATCATGATAATTTTTATAGCTCATAAGAATGTTTAGTGAAGAGAGACGAGGTAAAGACTTTGAATCAAGAAGAATCGTAAGTAGGGTCTCTTGTTTGACTCTATAAAGATTAATATATTTAAGACGTTGAAATGATGAATCAATAGTACAATGTTTGAAGAACGTATCAATTAGTGATGGATCAGTCGGACAATCATCCAAACTAAGTGTACGAATACGATGTGAATTTGGAATAATAACATGTTGACAATGATCTTCGACTAAAGATTTTGATTTTGAATCAAGTTTTATTACAAGTAAAAGTGACGAAGAATTGATAAGGTTTTGTAAGCGATTATTAAGATTTGAAAATGATTTATTTATATCACAAGTATCAAGCTTTTCCAATATTTCGTACAAAAGTTCATTTGATAAATCTTCAAAACAGGTGTATGATGTACTGAAAAATATTTTATAGATTTAGACAGATGCATTTATTGATTACCTTTCGTCGCTCGATCTTGCTAAAGAAAAAAATAAAAAACAAATTACTCTAATATGTTTCTAATTTACTTCGTAGTTGTTTCGTTTCCACATCGATCGATTGACTCGAACTCAGTTGTCGTTTGATTTGATTCATATTTAATTAACAAGTAAATATAAATTGTAAAAGTTTTCTTAAGTATACAAAATCGACTGACTGTAATGGTGTGAAGAAATTGAATTCTTTTTTTCTATTAGATATATATGTATAAACCAACACCGATTAGTCACTATTTTATATTTATTATTCTTTGTTCTATCATTTTCTATTTGGAAGAAAGATAAGAAAATACAATAAGTATTTGTGCTTATAACACGTGTTATAATTTCCGATAAAAGTTGATATTTATATACTGACTGATTACGTTATTTTTCATATTTATATATATATAGAAAAGAGTGGTACAATTATAGACAATGTTCGAAACAGTAGATTGGCTAATATAAACAAATTTAACAATAGCACGATGGGATGATGAATCTTGAACATCAGCTTTATTACGTGACATTTGTTTAAACTGAATTTTAATAAATCGAACGGAAGTCAAAGAATCTAAGTATGATTCAACAGAAAAGAAAAAAAATGTTTCATATTTGATGCACACGTCTCATCGTGAACGTCGAACGGAATTGACTTGTTTCATATAAAAGAGATAAAGATTTAAAGAAATAGGACAAATTTAATCCAATTATTCTGAATGAAGATTTTTAAAATAGAATTCTTTGAACTAATAAAATAATAATTAAAGTTCACGTAAATAATAATAACTAATATATATTTATAATTTTATTTATAGATAATTGAAGTATCTCATCTGTATGAAATACTCTTGTTTCTTTTATTTTACTTTTATGATATAATAGTGTAAATTCTCAATGGATTTCTGACTTTAAAAAAATGTCGATGTACTTCCGATAAATGTTACATTGTATTCAAAGTTCTCAAAATGATGATAATCCAATATAATACAGATCTATTCTATATATAAACGTGTTTAGTTAAAAATAATTAAGCAAATCATCTTTCAGTTATGAAAATGTCTACTAATTTTGTCGTCTAGAGATTCTCATTTATTTTTAATAGGAATAACCATAATTGATCACTATCAATTAAAAGTTTCTTTTTACTAATTGTATTACTGTAAAATTTTATAGAAATAGAAACTACAAAGGAAGTGTATCGCATATATAGATAAAAGACACTTTCACTGTGCAAGAAAATCTTCTAGAATATCAAATTTTTTTGAAAGAATATCTTAATATGACATTATCTACTTTTAGAAATGAATGATTTTGGTCAAATGATACAATACTGGAACTTCAACATATCTTTTTGTCATGTTAAATCATTTATTCATAACACTTTTGAATTAATATTTACTTGTATATATTACCTGCGCATAAAGAAATTTATCTTTTCGAGAACAAAGTCGAATGTTCTCTCTCTCTCTTAATGATTTTATTAATAACTTGAAGTTAAATAGATGCATCCATTATTTACCTTCAACTTATTAATCCCGTGGGGACAAGAGACATATAATTACGCCCGGATTTGGATGAATGTCATATGATTTTTGTCGACTTTCTACCATGCAATTATAATTATAGATCTTAATGCAAGTGATGAATATGTCACCACCTACATAGCATAACATTATCATTTGTAATGAATATATTTTTTACAAGTTTTGGAAACTTCTACTTCGTCTCAGAGTAATCACATCTCCTAAAGGGTTAAGAATTTAATAAAAAGCTTTCATTTATCTAAATTTGTACCAATACTATGCATATTTTATTTCAAGATCGTCATACCTAGTCTTCTAAGAGATTATCATATAAATTCTATTGTATCATGGAATACGACATGTGATTTTGGCGTTTATTTATTGCTGTAAGTGTTAATAGAAATTATAAATTTGTATCCTTAAGAAGAGAAACTATTGCTAAGTTAATCAGTTTCTTTTATTTTAATATTTTTTAATTATAAATTTTACAAAATGGTCTGACGTCGATTGTCGTAAACAATATTGTACTTATTAAAAATTAAATTTCACTTTGTATGATAAAAAACTTCGGGGTGTTATAATACCTAACTTCGCAATAAGTTCCTATTTTGTTTCTTATAAAAGTATGACATTCTTCATTAGATTTAGTGTTAAGCTATACTAAATTTAACTTATAATAAAGCCCTCGAGAATTTCAAAGACCTGGGGTGTTCTATTGTCCCTTGTCATTCACAAACTCTATGGAGGGTTTTCTATCACGTTTTTAAAAAATAATGAATTTGAGGGCGGGTGTCAAAAAAAAAGATTTTTAATGAAGAACCGACATAGTTTGATCATATTAAGCATTGCTTTTTTATGTGCTATATACATCCGTTAATTAATTTATAAATTTTTCAAATGCAGATAATTATAAACATAAGTGAGAACAGTAAAGTATTTGCCAGACTAACTTTAGACATACATACAGTTAGAATTAAAAAGTCAGCTACTAGAGAAGGATGTTCTAATATGTCGAAGGTTTACAACACTTTTAGTTCAAAACATAGTTATATGTTGTATAGACTAGACAGAGAAATACTCGTGATCGGATAATTAAAATTTATCTTTTTACAGTTGATTTAGAATAAATGAAAAGCTAATTTTGTAATTAGTAATTCAAAACAAAGTTTCTTCTTTTATATACTTTTTGTTTTGAAGAAAAAAAGTTCTGTATAATCAGTTCAGTTGTCGCAATAACAAAAAAAGATCGTACAGACTTTTGCTATTTTTGAAAACAAATGCTATAGAATTAAAATAATCTTTACTTTATGGATTGTAGAGCTTTTGATACTGCGTCTAGGGGTGCATTTTGTTTTTTTTTCATACAGCGTATTAATGGATGGAAGAATGTCATATAAATGTAGATCACATGTTATGGGCCACATGAGATTTTAATACATTAGATAGTTCAGTTAATTCTTCAGTCTAATAAATTTTATTTTTAATAGACACGCTTCTACTACGAACATTAAAATTCTTTTCTAATTTAGTAATTACATCAGTGACCTTTTATCTAACTACTTTAATATTTATTGTCTATGCTGCCAGCACAATTTTATAAAATATAATTATAAACCATATATTTATTAAAATATTTTTCAAATAAATTATTACGTGGTATGTTTACAGTCGAGACATTAAATTCAAAGATGAATAACGCAAGTATCGATGAAGTTACTTTTATTGCTCATAAACTGATTATTACTATGGGTATAATCATGTATGTATTTGGTTTAATTGGAAATGCATTAAATATTTGTGTATTTACAATCTGGTGTCGTTCACACAAACAAGGAAATGAAAATAATGGAAATAATCGACCAAGTAATAGTTCTCTATATTTACTTACATCATCTTGTGCTAATTTCATTCTAATTATATATCCACTTTTAACTCGTATTGTATATGATGGTTTTCAATATCCAAAAACACCAAATAATGTCATTTTTACATGTAAATTACGTTATTATGTCTTACATACAAGTGATCTCATATCATTAACATGTATATGTATGGCAACATTAGATCGATATTTGATTTCATCCCGACAAGCACGTTTACGACAATTAAGTACAACACCATATCGTACAAAACAAATAATTTTATTAATTATCTTTGTAATTGGTTTACATAATATTTCAGTAGGTTATTATTATGAAATTTCTGATTTTGATGATTGTATAATATCTTCAGAAAGATATTTATATTATTATTTATGTATTATTCAAATATTTTTTCATGCAATTTTTCCAATATGTTTTCTTTCGGTATTTGGTACATTAACATATAAACAATTAAAACTTTCTAGTCGTACAACTATTCAATTAAATTTTCATATGGATAAACAATTATCTCGAATGCTTTTATTATTATGTATATCGATATTAATATCATCGATTCCATATTGTATGGGATATACTTATTTAATTGCATTTAATTATATTAATACAAAATTATTATCTTATAATCTTATTATTTATTTTATAGCTGCTGTTTCATTTTTTGCAAATGCTGTTTCAAGTTTTTATATATTTTTTATTTCAACACCGAATTTTCGTCGACAAGTCAAGAAAATTCTGCAATGTAATTCAATATTTTTTGAAAAAAATAATCAAATTAATGTAATAACTATTTCACCGACTGTTTAATATGAGTTTTATTTAAAAACATCAAAGAAGAACTATAAATGTTTTAATTTACATACTTTTGCATAATAAAATAAAATTTATTAGACTAATAGATATATATTACTCTTTTTCATAACCTACTATCTCTTCGTAGACTATAATAACACAAGATTAGTGTAAAATGCATGTGACAAATTAATCTATTATTATCAGAATAAGCATATTATAGTCTAAATCCCTCAATATAATTACCAGGAGCTATTTATATATAATCACGTAACTTATATTGTTGTTTTGCATAATTTTACGTAAGATTTCTAATTGATATATTGAATACATAAAACGATGGTTATTATAATTTTTATGTTTTACTATATTATATTACAGTTAGTAATGAAAAGAAACATCAATCACTCGATAATTTTCTTAACAATTAATTTTTGTATTAACTTTATTCCAATATTAAACTAGAGATTATGTTCATTCTAAATGTTACTCTAGTTTTAAATTAATTGAATAAAACAAAGCATAAAATTCAAATTGTTCTAAGATTCTTTGTAAACGAACATAAAGAAAAAACTGATGATAGGATTTTTATGGTCACGCAGAGAGAAGACGATTAAGAGATAAAAGCAAAAGAAATTTTAAAATTAAATCAAAGGATTCATTCACTATGAGTAATCCTTAAATGTATTTTTCACTATGGAAAAGTCATACATTCTTATTCATAGAAAATATTTATGACATTTATCACATGATTCTTTTATATTCTTCTAAACTTAACTTTCACATGACTTTAGTTTTATATATAAATGTTTAGTAATCCTTGATAATTTAATAACAACAAAAAATCTCACTAACAAGAATCTATGACAAGAATTGTAATGTGAAATAATAGTTTGATTAAATAAATTATTCACTTGGATAAATATAACATATATAACTAACACGTGCTCGTTTGTGTAAACATTATTTATATTTTTATCTTTCTTTCCATATTTTACCTTACTACTATTAAATATATACGAAAAAATAAATAGCAAATACATATTATAGTGTAATAATGTCTACGAATTCGGGTAATTGGAGTCAATTATTGGTTAACAAAGTTGTGTTTATAACTGGTGCTGCTGGACATATTGCAAAATCTATAGCTAAGACATGCTACATGCATGGAGCTCGTCTAGTTTTAGGTGATTTAGATCCAACAAAAGTTAACAAAGTTAAAGAAGAAATAATTACAAATGAAAATGACACTGATGATCGAATATTTGTTGTAAAACTTGATGTTACTAATGAAACAAGTATTCAACAAGCAGTTCAAGCAACTTTAGATAAATGGAATACAATTCATGTTCTTCTTAATACGTAAAATTGTTTTCTCAGAATAATTTTCTTTCCTATTATATTTTTTTAGTGCAGCAATTGTCACTTTAGGAAATATCGAAGAAATATCAGGTGAAGATTGGTCTCATATATTCGATGTTAATGTACGTGGTTATGCTTTAACAGCAAAACATATTGCACCAATAATGAAAAAACAAAATAGTGGATCAATTGTTAATATATCCAGTACTTTAGGTTTAATTGCTATTCCTGATTCTACACCATATTCAGCAACTAAAGGTGCTATTATTCAATTAACACGAAATCTGGCTCTTGATTTAGGTTCATTTAATATTCGTGTAAATACAATCAGTCCTGGTTCCATTGACTCACCAGGACGTACTCAATTAGCTAAAGATAGTAATATGACAATAGAAGAAATGAATGAAAAATGTATGGAAGGAAGTTGTTTAAAACGAATTGGTCAAGCACAAGATATTGCTAATTTAATTATTTTTGTCATTTCTGATCTATGTCCATTTATGACTAGTGCTAATTTAGTTGTTGATGGTGGTAATTTAATTATATAAAACTATTAACACATAATATTTAATCAAGCTTTAATATAAACAATCTTTTGCTTTGAATTGAACTAAAATAAAAACCGTTTTTTTTCTTTTCTGTTAAATCATAGTTAAGTTGTTTGACTTTCGTTCGATTTATTAAAAGTCAGTTTAAACAAATGTCACGTAATTAAATTGATGTTCAAGATCCAACATCTTAACGTGCTATTACTAAATTTGTTTGCATCAGACAATGTACTGTTTCGAACATCGCCTATAATTGTACAGCTCCTTTGTTTATATATATAAAAAATAACGTAATCAGTCAGTATATATATATATCTCAACGAAAGAGAAAAAATGCAAGACACTGAGAAAAAAACATGATAATGATAAAAAGTATTGGAAAAAATATATGAATCAAGATGGAAAGTTAATTTGATTCTTTTGTGTTTTTTTTCGAGTTAAAACAGAAAAAAAGAAATGATATTATGTTTTATCGGAAATAATAACACGTGTTAAGTATAAATACATATATTTTTTTACTTTTTTTCCAAAGAAAAAATGATAGAACAAAAAATAATAAATAAAAAATAGTGACTAATCGATGTTTGTTTGTATATATATGTATCGAATAGAAGAAAAAAATAGTTTCTTCATAATTACTTGTTGAATAAATATGAATCAAATGAAACAACAACTGAGTTCGAGTCAATCGATTAATATGGAAACAAAACAGCTGCAAAGTAAATTAGAGTTATATTAGAGTAATTTTTTTCATTTTTTTTCTTTAGCAAGATCGAGTGACGAAAAGTAATCAATAAATGCATCTGCTTAAATGTATAATATTTTTTTTCTATTTTTTTTCAGTACGTTGTATACCTCTTTAGAAAATTTATCAAATGAACTTTTGTACGAAATATTGGAAAAGCTTGATACTTGTGATATACATAAATCATTTTCAAACCTTAATAATCGTTTACAAAATCTTATCACTTCTTCGTCACTTTTACTTCGAATAAAACTTGAATTAGAATCAAAATCTCTACCCGAATATCTTTGTCAACATGTTATTATTCCAAATTCACATCGTATTCGTTCACTTCATTTGACTAATCAATTATCGGTTGATACGTTCTTTAATCATTGTACTATTGATTCAACATTTCATCGTCTTGAATCAATTATTCTCAATGGAATCGAAGCAGAGAAACTACCTACCACTCTTTTTGATTTAAAATCTTTACCGCGTCTCTTTTCACTAACCATTTTTATAAAGGATAATTATTATCATGATCGTGGGGATATTTATCCATTCATTTTTTCTTTACCTACATTAACATATAGCAAACTATATTCATCGTGTCATACATTACAAATTAATATTCCACATGTAATCAATCAACAATTTAGTACAATCGAACATCTAGTTATTAATCATTGTTGTACTCTTAATGAACTAAATTCTCTACTTCAACACACACCACAACTTCGTCATCTGTCTTGTGATCAAATGTTTAAATCAGATGAAGAATTCCAAAAAGATCTATCGATGAAATTACCACATTTAAAATATATTTATTTTCAAAATTTTGATGCTTCGTTTGATGAATTTGAAGAGTTTATTAAGGAAATATCGTCTCAATTACAAATATTCAGTATTAGTATACTTCGGAAAAAAACTTATCTTGATGGTGATCGTTGGGAACGATTAATTAAAGAATATATGCCTCAATTAAAAAAATTCTACTTTCAGTTTGATCAGTATTTTGATGATGATAGGGAGATAAATTTAAGTGATTTAACCGATGAATTCATTAATCAATTTAGTTCACCATTCTGGATTGAACGAAAATTGTTTCGCGAGATACAAATATATTCTAGAGTATCGACTTTTTCAATTCATCCATATAGGTATCGTCAGAAAAAAATCATTCATAAAATGATTCTATATATCTTTTTATTTTTTTTATCAGAAAAAAATGGATTGATCGTCATGAGCATATGAATAATGACACGTATTCGAAACAAAATTCGACAGAAGATAATTATATTACTAATCAAGAAAAAACTGACCATCGCATTATACAATTGACTATTGGGAATAATGAATATACCACACTTGATAGGCTATATATTGAGAGATTAAAATCTGCCGTTAAAGCGATTCAATTCACTCATTTAGATATAGATAACGATGTCATGTCTATTAAGATGTTACTCGATATTTTATCTTCATTGCCAAATATTGAATCATTAAAACTCTCATCTATACCAATAGTTAAGTTAGAATCTTTATTTATTGAACATACCAAAAATCATCTATCAGTATTGGCTATTAACAAAATAACAAAAGTCAAACTTGGTCAAGTTACAGAAGAACAAGAAATTGAATTTTTTATCAATCTTTGTCCACATATGCAATATCTTGAAGTAGAATGGATATCAGATACTGATGTTCCGTTATTTATGAAATTTATTATGAATCGAAGGACACGTATTCCTAATCTCTGCTGTCTGTGCTTCATTAATCCTATGGCAGATGAAAATATGGTTAGAACTTTAGCAATGATAATCGATTCCGAGACAACTATTGATAAGTATACAATTCAGCGCAGTGGCAACAAAATAAGTGTGCATTGGACATTATAAGAAATTATATATCATGAAAATTGATTTGCTTTTTATCTTTCTTTTTATATAAATAAAAATAGTACGATTCGTACACAAAATTAGTTAGAATCAGTTGTTTCATACTTTACAACATATTTTCTTAATGGCTCGGGCTCGGAAGTTCGATAGTGTTAACTCAACTGTATGACTCGAGCCATTTACTTGGACAGAATTTTTCATTTGCTCTTATAAAAAAAACTAGAACTTATAAAACCAATTTTTCTATGATTCGCAATTGTCATTCTGATTGAATGTACTGCATCTAAAAGTTTTTAGGATCTTTTTTTAATTTATAGATAAGTAATATTTTAATCACTAAAATTGTCTAACTGCGATGTGATTAATAAACAATTAGTATTTTGATCATCAAATCTATCATAAATGAAAATAAGAACAAGAAATAGGGTGTAGATGTGTGTCTGAATGAGATCGTATTTATCAAATGTAATACATACCTCTCCACCCCTTCTAGAGCTTCTCCTGGGGCTAGGGAAGTATCATAGAAAGTGTAATGAGGCTAGCTACTGCAGAGACTGAACGCATAGCGAACAAAGAAACAAACAAACAAACATTCCTGTTTATATATATAGATTGAAATTTGTTTACTTAAGATGAAACTAGATACATTATTATTGATTTTCTAAAAAAAATCGATAATCAACTATTATTTTATATTGAACACAATTATCGCATGAAGAAAAATATGCTTTTATACCCGTCATAGTATATGAGATATCTGATAGTTACTGTATTTGATAAAAATTCAATTTTTATATCGATGCGAATAGTAATAAAATATATTGACTATTAATTCGTAAAAAGAAACTTATGTTAATTTTGTTCGTGATCATATATTAATATAATTCAAATGTAAACGTCTTTTTAGTCTTTACTACATACATCATGTTGTAATTTATCTGTATCGACGTTTTACTTTCATTATTTTTTCTTCGCTTTGATAGACGAGTAACTAGGCTAGAGGGTATGTTTTGTATTGAAAACAATACGATTCTCAATCAGAAAAAATTTTAATAAAATATAATTCTATCAAAAATCGTTATATACCAGCTGTTGGATATTGATCAATTGTTTCCTTTTATGCCTACTCAAGTTTCTTTCATATAAATATTATGAAAGTACATTTATCTTTACGTCAGTATTTACCGAATAATATGCTATTATTCAAAAGAAAAATAGGGTAGATGTTTGATGCTGTAATAGTAAAGGATAGATATGATTTTTAGTTTCTTTTTTATCATGATATTAATAATTAAAACAAAGTATTCTTTCTTTTATCGAGATATAACTAAAAAGTCCTTAGAATTAGACAATGATATATATGTATTTATTTTTGTTTGTTAAAATGAGAATAAAAATGAAGTCAATGTCGATCATTATAGCCAGTAAATGTAAATGTGTAATTCATATTTGGATTATAATTACCACAACCATGATGATTTAATTTATTTATTATTCTGTAACAATGTAAAACTTTTTTTCCTCTATTATCTTGTTCGATTTTTTTTAATTCATCGGAACCAACAATTTTTTCCAGGAGAGAAATATCAACATCAGCTAATGGTTGCCAACAAAAATTCGACATTTGATTATTATATAATCGAGAATATCCAACTGTATTAGTTAATAAAGCAATTAATTTTTCTTTAATCAATACATTATTTTCATTTGTTTGTGGTAAAATCATAAAGTTTTTAATAGCTTCAGTAAAAACTGGACCACAACGTTTTGGACAATATTTTCTTAATAAACCACCAAAACCTTCTAATGTTTTTGCTGTTAAAATTTTATAAGTAATAATACGAACAGCTTCTGGTGTAAAATTAAATATAGTCGAATTATCACGATTTCCTAAAAAATTCATTAATAGTTTCTAATAGTTACATAAATAAATTAAAAGTTTACATTGAAGTCGTTCATCAATTATATTTAATACATTTGATTTAGTTGTATTTGTTGGTACAATAGAATCATAGCATAAAATCATTAATAATTCTTTTCGTAAATCATCATAATCAAGATGATTTTCAATATAGTTTTCATCAAGTTCACAATATTTTAACATATCTTTAATAACAGTAGGAACACCTAAACTTAATTGGTTATCAATTGATTGTAAAATAGTTTTTATGTATTCAATTTCAGGTTCAGTAGTAATAAGTTTTCGATCTTCACCTGTCGTTGTTTCAGGAATTAATTCAATTGGTTGACACATTTCATCATGAAAATATTTAATAAAACTTTGTTCAACATAATCAGGATCTAGATTTATATCACTACCAGTTGAATTCGTATTACTTGCTACTGTTTTAACTCGTTGATTTTCATCACCATATAATAAACGATCAATAATAGCATTTTTATTTACTGGTCTGTTCTTACGTAAACATTGTCGAAGATATTCATAATAAACAGGTATAAGAATATTTTCAAAATCATTTTTTAAATATCCAATAATTAATGGTATACTTAAATCATATGTTCCATTTTGTCGTCCATGAATACTTGCAATAAAATTTTCATAAGTTTGTTCACCATAAGCAGTTTTGAAACCAATTGATTCAGTAATAATAAAATGACAAACTTTTTCAAATTCTTTTACTATTTGTTTATATCGTGATGTACCAGTACGTTGCATAATAATATCATAAAGTAATTTAAGTAATCCAATTTCTTGTTGTTTATCATAACCATATGAATCTAAAGTAAACATATAACCTAACCAAATACCTTCTAAAATTCTTATACGTTTCATATGTTCATAATTAATATAAAGTGGTATAACAGCATTAATTTTTTCATGTAATTGTCCAACAACACAATAAGCATCATTAATACCATTAAATTGTCCATAATTATTATTATTTGTTTGTGTAGTTTTTGCTAAATCCATTGCAGCGATAAATGAATCATATGAGATAATTGTATTTGATACATTAATTAATTTTAAACCTTTTGTTGGTGATTTTATTGCTTCTTCATTACGTTCTATTAAAATTCCTAAACACATTATATTATCTGATGTTTTTCTCATCATGTCATATATATCATCATTTGAATAAATACAAACCCAATCTGGTTTTTGTTCTTTTATATAATTCCAACCTTGTTGATCAATATCTTTTTTATAACCATCTAATATACCACTTATATCCGTTTTACGAAAATAATCAACATTTTTATTAATACGTAAATCTAACTTTTTACGTCGTTGTGCATTAGCAAATGTTGGATCATGTCTTAATGCACTTAATTTTAATTTAACTTGTTCAGGTACTTGTCCAATTTTAATTTGTGTAAATAATTTTGTATATTCCATCAGTCGTTCATCAATTTCTTTTTTAATTTGTTCTAATTCTAATTTTTCTGTAGGATCCATATTCCCTGTTGGAATAATTGAATAAAGATATGTACGAATTTGTTGAACAGATTCTTCATCATCTGGTGAAATTAAATTTAATGCTCGAACAACATGAAGTGGACTTATATTTTCTTTTAAATCTAATGGAACTTTTAATTCACCATCAGATGATTTAACTATTATTTCATTAGTTATTGTATCATCAATGTTTATATTATTAATTAAAAATCCTACTGTTTCTTCATTACAATTTGCTGTATATGATTGATTATTAATAACAATAGTATATTCTTTTGCTGACATTGCATATTCAAACATATCATTAAAATTATTTTGTAATTCAGCTGATTGTGTTGAATATCGAAATAAACCTTCTTTCGTACCAAGTTTTCGTACTTCATCTAGAAAATTATTATTTACCTCACCAAAACCGATAACATGAAATACAATTGCAACAGTTTTTGCCAATCCTTTAATAGTTAAATTTAAAAATGTCATAGCTCGTTTTAATGCATCTTGAGAATCACCGTCTTGACCATCAGTCATAAAAATAAATGTAGTCGATTTTTGATTACTAATTAAATGATTTTGTATAGCTGTAAAAATTGAACTAAAACTAGTTCCACCACTTGCATTTAAATCTTTATTTTCAACAGCTTTGATTGTTAATTGTGTATTAGCTGTTGTATTATATGTAAATAATGGATATTCAATATTTGTACGTTTATATACATCACGTAAAACTTCACAAACATTACGAATTGGACTACCACTCATTGAACCAGATACATCAACACAACAAATAATATTATTATTAGATGGTGTTTCATTTTTTGGTACTTTTAATTCAATATAATGGTGATGACCACCAATATTAAATGGAGTTTTGAAATAACTAGCCATTTATTGAATTTATCAAAAAACAAATTTATCTAATTTAACGAAAAATAAATTATAAAGAAAAGCCAAGAGCACATATATGTGAACACAGAAGATAGAAATGAAATCTTTCTCTAACAATATTTTAACATTATTGTTATTAGAGGGTTGCCAAATCCAAATTTAAAAATCCGGGTTTTTTCGTTAGAAAACAGGAGTTGATCAGGATATTTTTCTTACAAAATCAAGAAACGTTCTCTCGAAATTATAGGAAAATACGACAGTGTCACGTACTTTATTTGAGAAAAAACAAAGCTTTTCACTCGAGGATGTGGATTTAATAATCAACACCTACACCTACACCTTTGCAGCTCTAGCGCAAACATTAACTATCACGCTATAGAAGTTAGAGAGTAGTGAAACTTTTTTTTCATCTCTCGCTTTTTCTTCTTGATGGGAAAAGAATAAATGCAATCAACCGATGTAACCAAAACTATATTTCTCATTTGCGACAGTACATATGATAACGTCCAAATGCATAAAGCTTACATAAAACATTGACTTATTCTGTCTATCAGTTTCACATGTATATAAAACCTACCTTTTTTTTACAAATTGTGCAATGGACAACACTGACGGAAAAAAATAAAAAAATGCTGTTTACTTTCATTCTTAAATAGTTCTTGATGCACTTATATTACCAACCGAATGAAGGCGAAAGCAAAAGCAAATTGACAATTCTATTGAATCACTGATTTGTCTGAAGCTTAAAAATGGCCTGAAGCATATTAATGGGTTTTCCCACTTTCTTCCTTCGTTGTTCGATTGCTTAGAGCAAACAAAAAGCTGTCCAAAAGAAACAATCGGATGAGGTGCCGTTGATCGAGTGACTTTTCGTCGAATATAGAAAGATTTTTCGGCGAAAGATATTTTGTCGGAAGATCTTTCATCGAAAGTTACTAGAGTAGTAGCAGTTACTATTTATTCTTCCATGGTGCGGGTGCGGGGATGGGTGCCAGTGAGGCTGTATGAATGGGTGTGGGATGGGCGTGGGTGGATGAGTGTCGGTATGGGTATGGGTGTTGGTATGGGTGTGGGTGGGTGAGTGTGGGTGTCGGTACATGTATCTTTTTTATTGACATTCACTCCACAGCCACCGTAAATTTTTGGTCTTATTATTGTGATAAAAAGTGAATACTTAGCTTTTCGGACAAAATGTAATAGGACAAGAGATAATTAGGACGAATTGTAAGAAGACAAGATGAAATCGGACAAAGAGCATTCAGGACGAAATGTAGAGGTACCGTATTTCTTATACGATTTTACTATATTATAGTTAGTAATGAAGAGAAACATTAATCATTCGATAATTTTCTTAACAATTTATTTTCGTATCAGCTTTATTTCAATATTAAACTTTACATTATGTTCATTCTAAATGTCATTCTAGTTTTGAATTAATTAAATAAAACAAAGCATAAAACTCAAATTATTCTACGATTCTGTGTATGCGAACATAAAGAAAAAATTGTTAATATAATTTTTATGGTCACGCAGAGAGAAGAAGAAAAACAAATAAAAGCAAAAGAATTTTTAGATTAAATCAAAGGATTTATTCACTATGAGTAATCTTTAAATGTGTTTAATACTGTGTAAAAGTTATATATCTCTATTCAAAAAATAATAATAATAACATTTATCACATGATTCTTTTATATTCTTCTATACTTAACTTTCTCATAACTTGAGTGTTATATAGATGTTTAGTAATTCCTCATAATGTAATAAAAACAAAAAATCTCACTAAGAAAAATCTATGACAAAGGTTGTAATGTGAAATAATATTTTTATTAAATATGATTTTATTAAATTAATTATTCACTCGGATAAATATAACGTATATAACTAACACGTGCCTTTTTGTTTACATATGTGAAAATAAAGCTATTAAAGATAACGTCATCAATCTCTGTATATGTATATCAAATTTTATCGAAAATAATAACACATGTTAACCACAAATACTTATTTTATTCTCTTATCTTTCTTTTAAATAGAAAATGATAGAACAAAGAGTAATAAATAAAACATAGTGACTAATCGAAATTCATTTGTATATATATCGAATGGAAGAAAAAAAACAGTTTCTTTATACTATTACATCCAGTCGATTTTGTTTACTTAAGAAAACGTTTACAATTTATATTTATTTGTTGCATAAATATGAATCAAATCAAACGACAACAAAGTTCAAGTCAATCGATTGATGTGGAAATGAAAACGCTACAAAGTAGATTAGAAATATACTAAAGTTATTTTTTTTTATTTTTTTCTTTAGCCAGATTGAGTGATGGAAGGTAATCAATAAACGCATCTGTTAAAATATATCATATATTTTTTCAGTACATCGTATACCTGCTTTGAAAATTTATCAAATGAAGTTTTGTACGAAATATTCGAATATCTGGATGCTTGTGATATATATGAATCATTTTCAAATCTTAATATTTGTTTACAAAATCTTATTAGTTCTTCGTCACTTTTACTTCGAATAAAACTTGTTCCAGAATCAAAACATTTGCTCGAAGATCATTGTCAACATGTTATTATTCCAAATTCACATCGTATTCTTTCACTTCATTTGGCTAGTTATTCGACTGATCCACCACTAATTGATACGTTCTTTAATCATTGTACTATTGATGGATCATTTCTTCGTCTTGAATCAATTATTCTCAAAGGAATCAAAACAGAGAAACTACTCGCAACTCTTTTTTATTTAAAGTCTTTACCTCGTCTATTCTCACTAACCATTTCTATAAAGGCTAATGATTACTATGATCTGGGAAATATTTATCCATTAATTTTTTCGTTACCTGCATTGAAATATAACCGACTATCAAGATCTATTCATGCACGAGAAATCAATATTCCACGTGTAATCAATCAAAAATTTAGCACCATCCAATATTTGATTATTGATCATACTTGTACTTTTACTCAGCTAAATTCTATACTTCATTACACACCACAACTTCGTCATTTGTATTGCGATCTAGTGATGGACTCAAAAGAAGAATTCAAAAACGATCTATCGATGAAATTACCACATTTAAAATCTCTTTATATTCAACAATCTGAGGCTTCGTTTGATGAATTTGAAATGTTTATTAAGACAATATCCTCTCCATTACAAATATTGAATATTTCTGTATTTTGGGGTGAAGATTTTCTTGATGATAATGGTTGTGAACGATTAATTAAAAAATATATGCCGCAATTAGAAAAATTCTCCTTTCATTTTAATCAAATTATTCATGATGATTTCACGAAAGATTTAATTGATTTAAGTAATGGATTCATTAATCAAGTTAGTTCACCATTTTGGATTGAACGAAAATGGTTTCGTGGGATAATAATAGATTCTGAGAACATCGTTTTTTCAATTCATCCATATAGGTATAGTCAAAAAATATTTCATAAAATGATTCATATATCTTTTTGTTTTCTCTATGTCAGAAAAGAATGGATCGATCTTCATGAACATACGAAAAGTGACCATCGTATTATGCAATTGATTATCATGAATAATCAATTTACCGAACTTACCTGGCGATTTATTAAGAAATTAAAGCGTGCTTCTAAAGCAATTCATTTTACTCATTTAGATATAGAAGGTGGTAGCATGTGTATTCACATGTTACTCGATATTCTATCTTCATTGCCAAATATTAAATCATTAAAACTGTCATCTCCATCAATATTTTCGTTGAAATCTTTACCTATTGAAGATACCAAAAATTATCTATCAGTATTGGCTATTAACAAAATAACACAAGTTAAACTTGGTCAAGCTACAGAAGAACAGGAAATTCAATTTTTTATCAATCTTTGTCCACATATACAATATCTTGGAGTAGACTGTATGTCAGATACAGGTGTTCCATCACTTATGAAACTTATTTTAATGAATCGAAGAACACGTATTCCTAATCTCTGCTACCTGTGCTTCATCATTCCTATGGCAGACGACAACATGGTTAGAAGTTTAGCAAAGGTAATAGATTCCGAGATAACTATTGATAAGTATACAATTCAGCGTAGTGGCAACAAAATAAGTGTGCATTGGACATTATAAGAAATTATGTATCGTGAAAATTGACTTGTTTTCTTTTATCTTTTTTTTATAAATAAAAATAGTACGATTAGTACACAAAATTAGTTAGAATCAATTGTTTCATACTTTGCAACATATTTTGTTAATGGCTCGGACTCGAGAGTTCGATAACGTTGACTCAAGTCATTTACTCGAACAGAATTTTTCATTTGCTCTTATAAAAAAAACTACAACTTACATAAGCAGTTTCCCTTTAAAATATCTTGTAATTATTTAACTTTATATAAAATATCAATAGTCAACAAAATAGGTAATTATCTACATACAATCTCTACTAAAGTGGTTTCATTATAATTGCAAAAAAAATGAATATTTTTCGAAAATGAAAATTATTTGTCATCAAAATTCAGTTTTCTTTATTTATTTCGATAATATATATGTATATGCAAATATTTTATTCTTTCAAAAGTTATACATTAAACTATAATTTTTATAAAAAAAATTGTCTTTGTATAATAAATTTGTTAACACAATTAACTTTGATATGTTTTTGGATATAGAGTTGATATAACACCAGGATAAGGTGGTGGTAATGTTTCTCCTACCATATATGAATTTTGATATGAATATGGAGTACCAGATGGTAAAACAATGTATGGACTTCGATAATATGCAAGTGCTCGCATTCTTCGTCTACGTGCGATAATACTTAAAGTGACAATGAACAATAACATGAACACAACTACACTTGGTAATAGAATGGGAAGCATTGTATTGATAGGTGAATAATTCGTTTGACATGTACGTGATCCAGAATCACAATTTCCAGATATACATGCATAATCATATGTACAACGTTCACCATTCGTTTTTTTAGGTTGACAAGTATAGCTTGAGTCAAAATCACAAAATCTTGAAGTACCACATTGTCGTGGATGCGTGTAGTAAGGAGAACATTTTTGAAAGAGTGGAGTTGGTAGTTGACATTGATAATTTTCACAATAATATTCACAAGGACTATCATTAGTACATGAACAACCATATGTGCAACGAGCATAAGTTGCAACAGGCAGTAAAGCAATGGTAAGAAAGACAAGAAACATTTTCATCATGGTTGCTGTAAAAATGACTCTATACAAGTAAAATTCATGTGATATTTATGAGAAGATGATAAGCATATTTACTCTTTTATATAAATTCTTATCATGCATGACACAAGTTTAGATAAAACAAAATAACGTCATCTTCTTTATCAAATATTCATTTTTTTTTCTAGATAGATACAAAACTTTAAATAGTATCATCTATTTATATGAAATTTTCTTTGTTGTAATTAAGATATTTATTTCATTCATAATATAGCAATAATATTTACAAATATTTTATAAAAATTCTTGAATTACATAATCTTACGTAATTGACTTCACTTATGTAATCTCAGATTATTTCTTTTTTTAAAATAAATTCAGTTATTTCAATGAAAGATAATTAAATAGTGGAATAACTAGCGTAGGTGTGAAAAGTACAGTGAATAAAATGTGGAGTATGATCGACAGTAAAAGATAGAATGATGAAATCCAAACTAGTTGGATCCGTTTTAGCTATATAAAAGAAAACACTATTTATAAACTTAAAATCTTTAAAATTCAATTAGTTTTCAGCAAGAGCAAAAATAAATGATTCAAACTACGAAAACCATTCAAATATAAAAATATTAAAGTCACACTTATACTTTATTTATAGATCGTATAAATTAAAAAACGATCACCTAAAAAGCTTTTGCACATTCATTATAAATAGATTATGTATTGATATGCTTCAATAATATGAGAAACATTAAATAACCATAAAACAGTATTATTAATTCAAGAAAAATCTTCTCCATTTCGATTTTTGACGATTGAAAAAACTATTGTGTTTATACTACCGTTATAGTATATTCATATATCGTTTTTACTTGGAATTTTCCGTCATCTACCATTTCTGCGTAATAAAGATAGTATCATTAATATCGCGGGTACATCATATGACTTTACACATGGATTTAATTAATTTATCATGAATAAAAAAGAGAACAAGTTTTTTTTTCGATTTGCCTGACTAGGCGCTTCTCGTTCTCGTCCTCGTCATATGTTATTGAGTGGGTAAATAAAACATGCTTGTTAGTTGACAGATAGAAAATATCCCAGGAAATATCCAAATAAGAAAAACTATAAAAAGAACTGATTACTTCTTCATAATAATCATAGTTATTTTCATCGTCTATTCTAAAAAATAGACTATTGAAATAAATCATGAATAGATTGCAGTCCAAGCAAATATGTACTGTCTTAACAAATGTTATGGAATCAATTCAATCGTCTACATTACATATGCCAACGATACTTAATGATTCTTTACCTGTCAGACGAAGTTCTCTTGCATATTCCAATATTAAACAAAATTTCGTTCTTGTATGGTTAGATGATAATATGGATAAAATAAACAATAAAAAGTATTATGAAATAATAACAACATTAAAAAGTATTGTTTATACGATTGATAAATTTGACAATATTAGAGAATGTATGAATTTTCTCAATGAAATTAAAAATGAGAAAATATTTTTAATTGTATCTGATAATCTTGGTCAACAAATCATACCACGTATTCATCATATGTATCAACTTGATTCAATATATATACTTAATCGAAATACATCACAAAATATCCAATGGATAACTGGTTGGTGGAAAATACAAGGTATTCACAAACAAATAACATCAATGTATAAATCTCTTAAAAACGCTGCACAACGATGTGATTATAATTCAATTTCAATGAGTTTTGTTCCAATAGATGAAAATAATGATAATACTGAAATTGATCATACATTTATGTATACACAAATTTTAAAAGAAATTTTATTTGAAATTGAATATGACGAAGAATCTATTAGAGATTTTACTACTTATAGTCATGAGTGTAATTATGGAGATTTTAATATTATTGATAAATTTAGACAAGAATATAAGTGTCAAAAACCTATTTGGTGGTATACCTATCCTTGCTTTCTATCTTCTATACTTAATAGAGCTCTTCGTACTCTCGAAACAGATACTCTTATTAAATTAGGCTTTTTCATTTGTGATCTCAATCATAATATTAAACAATTACATAATGAACAGTGTCATAATCGATCTACAAAACCATTTATTGTTTATCGTGGTCAAGGCATTCCTAAGAATCGTTTTGAAAAGTTGATTAAAACAAAAAATGGATTAATGTCTTTTAACAATTTCTTATCAACAAGTACAGATAAACAAGTTTCTCTTGCATTTGCTGAAAGTAATCGAGATAATCCAGATATGGTAGGAATACTTTTTCAAATGACTATTGATCCATCAATTCTATCAACACCTTTCGCCTATGTCAATGATACTGGCTATTACAAAGGTCAAGAACAAGAAATTCTTTTTTCTATGCATACACTTTTTCGAATTGTTGATATTAAACCTTATGAAAATGATAATCGTATTTGGCTTGTAGAACTAAAAGCAATCAATGATACCGATCATCGACTGAATAAACTTACAAAAAATATACGATCGGAAACTCGAGGATCTACTGGATGGGATCGATTAGGACGATTATTATTAAAATTAGATCAATTTAATAAAGCTGAACAAGTTTATAAACAATTACTTAATCAAACATCAACTGATATTAAAAAAGCATATATATATAATCAACTTGGAAAAACTAAAAATCATCAAGGAAATTATATGGATGCAATCTTATATTTTAGAAAAGCTTTAAAAATTCATGAAAATACTTTTCCTTCACATCAGATTTCTTTAGCTAGTTGTTACAATAATATCGGTCAAATGTATCAACGTATGGGAGAATATCCGAAAGCACTTCTTTTTCATCGAATAGCATTGGATATTAAACAAGATATTCTTCCATTAGATCATATTGATTTAGCTGAATCTTATGGACATATTGGTTTATTATATGAGAAGTTAGGTGAACATCATAAAGCTCTTTTATCACATAAGAAAGCATTACGAATACGTCAAAAAAATCTACCAAATAATCATCCAAGTTTAGCTCATTCCTACAAAAATATTGGTTCCGTATATAATAATATAGGTAAATATTCTAAAGCACTTATATTTTACAATAAATCACATGCTAT